TACATAGTCACTTTTATATGCATTCTACTGGCCTGCTCTTTTATTATGAATAAATATTTTAGATTATTAAAACAATTAATATTAAATAATTAAGTTAAATAGCTTGAATATAATAGTAAATATAAATATATAATATTATTCTTTTTATAGTATATTTAAAAAGCTATTGATTTATAATTTTTATATTTATTCAGTATTAACATTTAATATTTACTCTTTCTTTAATTCTTAATATACTTATTGAAATGTTTCAATTATTCTAAATCTGTTTTATTATTTGTTCACCTATTAGATATAAGTTTAATAATCTATTCTATAGAAAGATTAATTTCGATATACTAATTAAAAAGATAAACCTATCTCTAAATCATTAAAAATAGGGGAATAATTTCGTTCTCTTTATTTCCATATATTATTACTATAGCTCATTCTCGATTACCTAATTATATAAATTTATTTCTATCATATCTCTTAGTACTAATAATAATCATTATTATACATATAATTCCTATTATAAAGCCTATTTCATCGAAATTATAGAAATCTCTATTCAAAATGTTATATTTCACTTATATATTTATAACTAATCGAAACTATTCTTTAATAAGCTTAAAATCCTTATAAAAAGCTCTTTGAAAATCATAAATATAACTAAAATATATCTTTAATTTAATTCAATATTTTACAAATCAATATACCTAAAACTTCTCAATACATTTTATACTCTTCAATTTAAAAATATAATTCACTATATCTTCTACATTCTTAAATTTAAATAAAAAACCTTTCAAATCTATATCAAGAATATATTAAATAAATATCTTCTCTTCTAATTTAATCAAATTATAACTTTTTAATTGATTTTCAATTATGTTAAATTTACTTTGAATTCTATTATTCAATATAGTTCGAAATATATAATAAAGTTGAGCTGTCTTTTGAATTGATAATTTTTTATTTAATTTAATAGCTTAAATAATTAAGATTACATATACTTCTTTAAAATGAATTTTTATAATTAATTATAAAGAAAATATATATTGAATATAGAATAATAATTTGAGGTAAAAGTGATTGATCTATTGATATAACCGATTCACTGATAAACTATGTTATAAAAGATTATAAATAATTATATAATATACGGGTAGGTAGATATCCGCGGGTAATTTGTACCCGCCCCGCAGGTTACCCATTCAGATTTTTGAATTATCCGCTTTACAGACGGATTATCCGCGGATTATCTGTCGAGGCCATTATCCGCCCCGCGGGTACCCGTTGCGCAGCCTAGTAGGTGGCCAAGTGATTTGGGAAAAGATAAGTATATAATTTATCTTTTTCAACCAGGCATCATACAGCAAGATTTTGTCTATAAAAACGAAAGGGGGAGGTTGCATGCAGAGTGTGTACGTCACATATGAAGGAATCTAGGGGTTTACTCTTCACTGGGGCTCCCTTTAAGTCTCCATTAGTTTCCTTTCACTACCACCATTTCTCCTCTAATCATCTGCTTTCTCCACCACGTCTCCCTGAAACTACCAATTCGAATTACTATTCCATCCAGGCCTCAACCCTCTATACAAACCATGAAACTCTCGATCCCCATTGCTATCTTCCAAATATGTACTCCAAAGCAAACAACAACTTCTCTACAACTGACTAACCATTGCAAATCTTCCCTCCATAGCTAAAAACTACAACACATCCCCTCAGAACACAAATAGCCGTTCCCAAATTATCAGACAACTCATCTACGAACTTCGAAACCCTCTAATACCCAATCCCCTATCCCAACCCTAATCCCAACCCTCTCCCACACTCTCAAAATTCTTGTTGCACATCTCTATTTCAAATTCTAAAAACACTTCGAAAACCATAGCTAGGTAGATGCATATTCAGACTCTAGGCAGGTATCCAATATCCAATATTCAAACCCAAACCTCAATATCGATCTTTGACCTCTCGAGAACGAAAGAAAGGGGAAAAAAAGCCTTACGCTTAAAACTATCAATCCTGGACTCAAAACCCGACCCGTTCTTCTACTACCTAGTACCTACTTGCTAACTGCTAAATAGCAGCAAAATCGGGGATTGAGTGCGAATATTGCATGTCGCACTTGGGAGTTCTAAAAATGTTATTTGCTTAGGTACATGTATAGATAAGTACGTTTTTGTGTGTTTGTGTGTTTGTATATATGTATGTAGAATTTCCTGTCTTTGAACGGAATCCTATATTAGGGCGCGGGATCTTATACTACCTGTAGATGGGCATTTTTAGTCGTTAATTGATTAAATTTCACATATTTCTGTATTTCTTCCTTTCATCTTTTTTTTTTGGTGAGATTTGATATTGATAGGTAGATACATATATACATACATACATACATATATATATGCATACATATATATGTTGCACCTCTCCCCTCACGATTCAAAAAAGAAAAAGCGTAGAAATTGAATTTGTAGCATTCCAGCCCTCTCCCTCTTCCCCCTCTTCCCCCTCTTCCCCTCTCCCGATTATCTAAAATAAAACACAAAAATAGTTACCTGCCGCCTAGCACCTACCTACCTGCCTTTAAACAATCGTGCAGTACACGGATGCAAATCTCAGCGACCGTCTAGGCGTCCCAGGCAGTTCATTTTTAAGGCGGATATATGGAGTGCCTAGATAGGTACGGTGCAACTGATTTCGCCTAACCTGTTGAGCGGGGTGCAAATTGAATCATGTGGTGCCTACTAGGTAGGCTTGTAGGTTGGGAACCTTTGAAGGAAGCGAAAATGGGAGGAGAGGCGGGGTCGGGGGCGCTTAAATGGTGTGGCGTGGGTGTATTTTTGTTTTGTGATTTTTTGTGTGGATTGGGAGGTTTGCGATGAGTTGGTGAGATAGATGTGCAAGATAGGATTTTTTGATAGTGAGGATGGTTTTGATTGATGGGTGGACGAGGGCAAAAGGTGTTGAAGTTATTTTACCGAGTTGTGTGGTGGGTACCCCTTTTTCGGTTTTTTGGATTGGAATTATTTGGTTGTTGAGAGGTTATTTTTTCGGTTATAAGCTGTTTATCTGGATGAGTGAAGTGAGGAAGGAGAGCCAGATTAATAATCACGGGCTTGCTCTTTTTCCACGCCTTGGGTGAGAATAATTATGTTTATTTCTAGATCAAATATCAATGTCAAATCTCTACACCAATGATTTCATTTGATACCTAGTTCCCAGTGAATCATACTCCCTTCAATTTCTTTTCCTAACCTTTTCATATCTCATTATACAACCCCCCTTAAAATCAACGATAGAGCATTATAGCATGATATCCTCATCGGAAATTCTAATGATCGATAAAACTCGCTTAATTTTTCATTCTATGGTTGAGATATTCATATTTCTCACAATCTCGATTATCTTTACTTCGCTTCACTCTCATTTTCTTCAAAAACAAAAAAAACATCCTATATCCAGACAAATTCCTTCCTATTTCAAATTTCTATTTCCATCTCCGTTCTAGCTCTACCAGTGCCCTCATCTCTCTCTCTCTCTCTCTCAAAGAAAAAGGCTCCTCATCATAGAGTCTAGCTCTCCCCTCCCCTCCCCCTTTTTCCTTCCCTTCCCCTTTCATACCTCCTCCCTCTCCTCAACCCTCTAAGTATACTTAGCCCCCCAGTGCCCCAATTGATACGTCATCTTCCCCATCAAGAAAAAGTAACACTTGATACATCGATAATGCGTATTGCAATGTTTACAAATCTTGGAGAAGCCAGTGTCGCTTATGGAGGCGGTTTCGTTGGTTTCGGCGCAGGAACAGCAGACGTAGGAGAATGTCATTTTTGGGGTTGATTTGCTTTGGGATGGATTGATTTGCTTTGGATTAGGTGGTTGGGTGTGTTGGGTGCTGGAAATGGTGTGATGGTGATGGTAATGGTGATGGGTGATAGAGTGAGTGTGATGAGTATGATATGACCTAATAATCTGGTTTGGTGATAGCTGAATCTAGAACTAGATACTGATACTGATACTGGTAGTAATACTAATGCTACTGATACCGATGAAGATAATAAATCCCAAACCCCCACGAACATCCCGATCATTTATACTCCCACCAGAAGTTTTTCACATGGTTATTCTAATACGATTCGAAGTCTGTATACAAAGAGATGTCCAGTAACGATAGACCTAACAACATCTCCACAAAATCATTTTTAGATTCTTCAAACAAAGGAGAACATGGGATATCCAAGGGGAAAAGAAGGGAAGAAAAGAAAGGGATCTCGCTTCGAAGTCTCTACACAGTACCCACAAAGAATCATCGAGTAACAATAAACCTAACAACAAATCCGCAAATTCTAATTCTATATCCTTCAAAGAAACATCGAATGTAGGAGATTTCAAAGAAAGAAAAGAACAGAAAGAAAAGAGGACTAAAGAAAAGAAAGGATTTTCCACTCGAAGTCTCTATACACAAAAAATCATCGTAAACCATGACCAAAAGAACAGTAAACCGAATAACCGATTCGCAAAGTTTAACTTTATATCTTTGGAAGAAAACAGAAAGGAGAATATAGGATACTGGAAGGGAAATAGTCGAGACAGGAAAGAAGGGGGTTTGTTGTTGAAGTTTATGTATATAATTATATATAGATATAACAAAGAGATGATGGATGGGATAGGATTGGTCGATTGGATTTTTGTGTTCTTCCAAGGAGATTGATCGATTTATCTATCGAGGAGGTGGAGAGGCAGAGGGGATGTAGTTGAAGATTGGGATGGAAGTTCATCTTTCTCTTTCTCTTTCTTAATAGCGTGGTTGGATTAGATTTCTCAATCAAGGTCATGAAATTGAAGTGAAAAGTTACAAAAACCATGAAAGCCTCAACAAATTCATAAATTCCTATCAATCGTTAAGCTTGCTTTGAACATCATACCAATTTCAGATCAAAAAGCTTCACGAATTGCGATTTCATCAATTGACATATTGACATTTACCAAACAACTCATTAATTAACTATCACCTAATCCTCAATACCCTCAAACACATCATCATCCACTTCCCCACTACCTCCCACATTCTCCTGCTTTCGTCTCTTACTTCCCTGAATAGCTCCTTTCCGATTGTTTTCCAATTTCCTCTCATAACCACTCTTCGTACTAATCTGCATTCTCGATTTCGATTTCCCTCCCTTATCTTTCCCATCCTTTGCATTACCCAAACCTCCTCGTCTAGCTTCAACGCCATATTTCTTCAATTTCTTCTTCTCTTCCTTGCTAGGTGTTGGTAATGCATCTAATAACCATTTCTGCATACTCGCTTCGCTTGCTGGTTTTCCAGCTTGTTTCTCTGATGCTGCGATGATATTTGCAACGTTCTTAACATATGGAATATCCTCTTTGGTATAAAATGTCACTGCGATACCACCATCACGACCAGCTCGTCCAGTACGTCCTACACGATGGATATAAGCTGCTCCTGAATTTGGAACATCATAGTTAACCACACCGTTGATACCTTTGAAATCGACACCTCGGGACAAAATATCCGTAGTAATCAAGATCCAGATCTCACCATTACGGAATCGTGTCATGACTTGATCTCTAACCGAGTCGGAAAGATCTGAATGTAGTACTGCGATTCTGGTAGAACCACCTGCTTCGGCGGGGATATCGTACAGTAGTTCGGCATGTAAAGCAATAGCTCTAGGTATCGTTTGTGTGAAGACAAGGAATGGAGGTCGTAAAGATTCTGTTCCATCTGCAGTTTTTGCTGTGGGTCGAAGCAATTGTCGAAGAGCAATAAGTTTACCGGGTTCTGTCGCAGCATAAACCAAACGATGTGTAATATTAGGAATTGCAGAATCTTTAAGTCCGACTACAAGACGAACAAGATTTGAATGTTTCTCGAAGCCTAATTTTTCTTGTCTGGCTTGTATAGTGGCTGAGGCGAGAGTTTCAATATTTGAACCCATTGTTGCCGACCAAAGAGTGACTCGTAGATCAGGATTGATACAAGAATTCCAGATACCCAAGGTCTGTTCTCTGAATAATGGGTCTAGAAGAACATCTGCTTCATCGAAGACTAATGTACGAACAGTCGGTAATGGAGCATGACTATCTGGAGATCCTAAGGATAAGGCATGAAGGAAGATCAAAGGTGTTGTAACCAGTATATCAGTCTTGGTAAGTGGCTGACTAGATGAACTAGTTCCATCGACCGATTCGTCATCCTCATCGTCGCCTGACTGGTCTTTTTCCTCAGTATTGGTACTCGGTATTATCCTCATCCCTTTCTTCATTCCAAGAATCTTAACTCCAGTTCCAATACTAAGCTTCTTTCCCTCGTTAACAATTTGACTAGCGAGCTCCTTCGTAGGTGCTATTATGACAGCCTCCAAATCATGATTCTTATCGGAAGTCCTGCGTCTTTGTACTATCTCATTAATAACCGGTATTAAGAATGCCAAAGTCTTTCCACTTCCAGTAGGCGCAACGGCCAGTAAATCCAGGGTACTCGATAACTCATCAGTATCTACCGATGAACTACTCAATGCGACTGAAGGTTTCAGAAGTAGCGGCAAACTTCCCATTTGAACTTCAGTGGGGATCTTATATCCTTGATCCTTCAAATTTTCTGATAGTCTGCCTGATATCTTGTATGTAGCTCGTAAATCTGGAAACGCCATCAATGGCTGTGGGTATAATTGCTTGATCTCTTCCTTCGTAGGTTTAGCAGGCTTCGACTTTTTTGACTTCTTAATCTTCTTTTGCGGTTTTGCGCCAGGTAGAAGAGTAACCTTCAATCGATGCGATTTTAATATCTGTCGGCATTCTCCCTCATCTAGAAGTGCCTCTGGTTCCGAGGATTGATTCGAACGTGCAGGTTTGGGCGCATCGTCTGTGGAAGTATTTTTCTTAGATTTCTGTGCCGCAGGTTCAGACGAGAAGAAATTGAGATTGCCATCTTTTTGTTCCGTAGCACCAACCTCCTGAGATGGTCCTCCTCTCTTTCTTTTCTTGCCTCTCGATTCGGGAATCGGATCGTGGTACAATTGAGGATTTGCAGATGTTCCACTCGAAGGTAATTTCGAAGCAATGCCTCCTACTTTTTGTTGGCCCGACTGCTTCGACGACCTAGAAAGTAACCTTAAAATATCCATTGCTGCAAAACGTCGAAGTGTTCAATATCGAGTGCTGTTCCAGCTATCGCAAAGTTAGCTAGCTATATTTTTCGCGCGGGATGAACATTTTATTTTTCGAATTCTGCCGTTTGATACCCCACCACCGCCTTCCTTTTCCATCCAACCAACAATGCCAAAGTGGATGGAACCGGGACTTCAAAATAAATTTACCACACAGCTCAGAGCTCTTCAATCGTACGCCAATCCTCACATTACGGTATGTCAATCAAGCCACTGGTAGAAGGAGTATCTACTGATATCCTGCTCTAGCGATACAATAGCCATCATGCCAGAAACATCAATTTCCCCACCGGCCGTCACACGCCCAAGCAAACCTGTTTCGGAAGCTCTTTTGAACGAGAAGGTAAATGCCACATTATTTCGGATCCGCACTCACATCACCTGTAAATTATTCATAGAAGAAATACACTGCTAATCCAGCAATCATCTAGTGGGACCACTGTCTCTCCTCGATGCTCATACGATCCTCCGTCGGACTCGGATTTGGTGTTGTCGCCTCAGTCTTGATATTCAAGCGAAGAGCATGGCCTGCATTTGTTGGTGTTGGATTCGGTGCTGGAAGAGCTTATGAGGAGTGCAACACCTCATTCAGAAGGGTGGGAAAGGATGGTATTAGAGTACAGAGACCTTGAGTGGATAATGGCTTTATTGGGGAAGGGGGATGGGGGTGGTCTTGGAGTACATAGACGTGGATGGGAAGCTTGAACACTTTGGAGTGTGTATGATTATATGAAGACAGTACTTCAAATAATTCTGGGCTGGCTCACTTCTCCGTACTGTAGCACAAATGTTCGATTGGCTTCTGAAATCGGTATTGCGTGATTATTCTACAAATTCAGGGTTGACGACCGCTCTAATTTTATGTCTCAATTTGGTTTTAATTCATTAGCCTATGCTTGATTTTGCTAACCTTTCAATACTGCGTTCATCAAGGAGCTATCCCGTCAGTAATATGAAGCTCCAGGACCAGACAGAGGCCATGCAGAACTTGGTTGTTTACTCCTTTCATCTCGTGATTTCTAGGACAACAAGCTACCCATAAGCGTTAATTGTCGAGTTACAGAATGTTCTGACGCCTGGCTTTTCTTCATGGCTAATTCATCTTCCCCTGGTGAGTGCCCATATTGCAACACTCATCACATTGATACAAAAATGTATATTCCAAGTCAGACCTCCACCATGGTTGGCCACCAGCTCGATTCGTCTTCCTCAAATAGCGCTCCTCCTTCGACCCCCAAGGCTTGGAGATCTCTTGCAGCCGTCTCCTAACACAGCACATGCACTTCCACTCGAGATACTCTGATGTCTGGATAGATCCACTATTTTTCTCGTCCAGGCATGTTCTAACTTGACATCTCCAGTCCTTATTGGAGAAGGGTGAGACCATTCCACTGCCTCCCCAAATTTCCTCCTCCCGTCCTCTTCACTCGAATATGTTCTTCTACCAAGCTTATCCATAAGAATGTCCCGATTTGTGTTGTCTTCCAAGCCATATTTGACGGCCCGTAATCTATGGATATACGAGGTCGCAACCATGTAGACTCCGTATGAGAGCCAGAGAAGTAAGGCGACAATGCAGACGATGAGTAGTAGAAGGACCGGAGGATCGATTCTTAACTTTTGAAGATTGGGATGCGTTGCATGTGGTCGACTTAATACATTAGGTGCGGATCGAGAGGATGGTGGAGAGCGGTATGCGACGATTTGTTTATGGCGACGAACATTGTATGGATGATGCTGTTGTTGTTGTTGTTGTTGTTGTTGTTGTTGTTGTTGTTGTTGTTGTTGTTGTTCTTGGACGTAAGGCATTTGAAGGACTTGCGTGGGTATGAATGAATGGGTGGTAAGTGTTGTTCAGGATAATGTTCCAACTGGCTTAGAGATTGATGATGTATCTTCTGAAACGAAACAATTTGGCAAAGGAAATGATAGACTTAGGTTAAGAAACAAAAATGCAAATAGCTCTGAGGATGTTTAGCATACTTGCCATGATGGAGTGTATATGAAGGAAACACTGTTTGGGGGGCAACCATAGATTGTGGGTTGGTCTTTCCAATTTCGATGCTTTCAGAAACTTTGCTTGTCAAATAAGGTAGGGTGTAGAGTGATCCAAACAAGACCGTGTTACTCAGACGATGACCAACGCTGGTTGATTGCATCTCTTGTGACCGAATTGTTGACAAACTTCTCCGGTCAAACATATAGAGGAATCGGCTCGAGTTCCGTAAAACTACCATGTATAGGTAGATAGGTCAAGTCCCCTCCCCGAACTTTTGTCATATGGACTATAGCTCAAAGTAGCATCAACCTCAAATTTGGTAAGAACAAATGACTACTAGGTAGTCAGCAACTCTGCTTAGGTAAGGAAGAATGATACCTAGGGATGTGTTTTGTAAAGGAGAACGATTAAAGTTATCCGTAATCGGTTTGAGTGCTTACTATAAGGGTCCAGGATTCGGGGTCTTCGGGTAAGCAAAGCAGACGAGAAACATTGTTTAGGAAGACAACTTGATTGCAACACTATCATCAGCGACTTCGCATGCATGATTCATATTAGGTCAGATAGAATGACAGTGGAACATAACTAAAGGTGATAAGGACATTCTTTCAACAACCCGTTACACCATCTGAAGTTTGTCAACACTCTGCGTTTCTGAGTAAGGATTTCATATAAAGAAACATCCCAATTAATACAGGGCTGAGTAAAGAAAGTATGCTTAGCTGTCTTGTAATCACAAAACTTGAATCAGCTTGAATACGAAATGTGATCCAGCTTGTACCACCACCACAAGCATCAACAAACAGGAAACATGAGAGTCCTGTAAAATCTATTTTCGAAGATTCTGGATCGCAATTTGAATCCCTATCCAAATCCCGTTTCCATTCCAAAATGTTTCGACATCTGAGTCGGGTTACCAAGATTGAAAAGCTGATCAAGTCTTAAGGAGAAAATATCTCGATTGTGATTCGTGATGAGCCCGTGATCATAAGCTTTGGAAACTTTAATATTGCCCGTCTCTTGGTCATGTTTAGGCTATCGAGCGTACCAATATCTGGCCATCGACTAGGTTCACATATCGCCCATGACTCCAAGAGGGGATGGGATAAGTATCACCAAGTATAGTAATAATAAGCTGACACAAAGCCTAGCATAGCATAATCGTTTCTCGCCCCGGGTAAGGTCAAGGCTAGGTATACGCAATGAAATGAGAAATACCCTAGCCCTTCTGATGGCAAGACGTATATTTTAATAATTATCATGGAGAACCGATCCCATCCATCTGACAAGGAGTTTTCAAAAGCTTCTGGAAGGAAATTGGAAGGAATTTCCAGCAGATTAACCCCTTTTTGGCGGCTATCGGTGATCCGCTTGCTGCATGGCGGGCATGGATATTGAGGACGGCGGTAAGGTTCAAGCATTTTGTTTTGAAATGATGTGAAAGAAATGTATTATGTATCCAATTATTACGATAGTTTCAACTTTCAAGAAGTCTCTTTTACCTAAGCAGTGTTCGATTGATTCGGTTGGTGGATTTGGAGGCTCGTCAAATGTTCAAGACCTGGTGGACAGACGGAGCAAGATAAGATGAAAAGCGAGCCCCATTTAATTGTAGGTAGATCAGGGCATATGTAATCTTGAATCCACCATGGTACCATGTAATAACGATTTTTGAATCAATCGAGAAGTCTGTGGGGTGTCATGGGTGTTGAAGTGGCTGGTCTGGCTGGCCTGGCTGGTGGTTGTTGAAGAATTCGGACTTGAATTGTTTCATCCATCTTATGCAAAAAGAAAGGTTTGAGCGGCGGTAGAAGCGGGACACTCTTTCAGCAAAACAGGAATCGAGAGCCTCGGAACATTTGGATTGACATGTTTTCATCCAAAGTTGTATTGTGATCATCGGATAGCAGTGGTTGCAGTCGAAATATATACTCCGCAGTTGGAATATACCCCGTGCAATACAAAAAACATCATGTTCTGTGTGAATCCACGAGCAGTCAAACAGTTCCATCAAAGCTTTCCACATCGGATAATTTGAGAACAACTCAAACCATTTTCATAGAATTCATAATGTTTCATTGGTTCCGAGTGGAATATGTGGTATTTTATGAAGCCCCTTCTTTCTCATGCAGGCAAATCGTATCTGCCCCAACATTTACCAGATAATGTAATGTAGTGTGTAGGTGGTAGGTAGGATGTACGTACTCAGGTACTCCAAGATACTCGCATGAACAGTTCCCATTCCTTAAGGCTGATGGGATGGGGAAAGGTGATGCAGAGAAGAGGCGGGAATGGATGAATTGTGGAATGTGTGATATGTGATGTGTAATGTGTACGAGCTATCTGTAATCTGGAACGAATTGCCTTTTTCCTGAGAATGTATAAGTAAGTCAATGGCACCATCACTTGACTAACTTCCTCCTACTTCCTCACCAAGAATGAGTACCGAGGCTTTGGTGTAGTTGAAGAATCTAGAGTTGGCACCGATCAATCTTTTTCTTCAAGAGAGTCAAAAGAAGTGATGGTTCTCCTGAGACATTAGTGATCATTGGTCATTGGTTAGTAGTTACACGTATCTGACTTGATTTTTTTGCTTCTTCTTTTTCTCTTTCTCTCTTCCTTTCTTTCTTTCTTGCCAATTGACACTATTACCAAATCATCCTTCTTCCCATGCTTCCATTAATCTTAAAGTACGGAGGTTCCTCTCTGATACGTCGATTAATCCTGGTTTTCATCTGCAGAATGGAATTAGCCCCTGGTTCATTCCTTGTGGACGGTATTGTTTTATCCTAGCTGCTGCTTTGCCATCGGTAGGTGACTATGGAGTAAGTCAGATTCTAATAACAGACATGCAGACTGCTGCAGACTGCAGTTAAAATCTTCCGAGCCCTTTGTTAGCCTTCCTTAATGTGCAGCACTCAATTTGTAGAATATGAATCACTAAAGAAAGCCTACATCCATCCAACTGGTCATACTAGGTAGGTAATGATGTTGGTATACTCTACATATGATCGAGATGACAAACTTTGTGGAGAGCTGTTCTCATAGCTTGATAATCGATTCAATCTCCATATCTTCTGACTAATAAGCCTTCAGCTCACCGAGCTTCCTTTTACTAGTCAATAGAGTTCCAACAGTATGCTTGCTGCTTCAAACCTTCAGAAGGCGTTTTACAGTCTCAATTTAGATGCGGCAAACTTGTAACATTGATATCAAAATATGATGTGATGGATGAATGCTGGACGATACCACCGCTGCGGAGTATATCTACTTAGCTATAGGCTCCTCATAATCTCCTCATAATCTCCCCCGTAGCGTACGTATGGAGACATCCACAGCGGACTTCTTTCTTATTTTATAGATAAATCGACACACCAAGGGAGGGTATATCCTAAGTAACGGCAGCCGGCCAGAGTACACGTCCCCGTTATGTCAAGACATTCACTAGTCAATTAGATCGGATTCACTGACCATTAACATCAACCGACCTTGATTCTTTTTTTGATAAACCTTTCACTGGTTGCAGATTGCCGTCATTGATTGAGATGGACAGTCTTCTGATGAATAATGACACTGATCATTGAGCAATTGAGCAATTGAGTTTTTGAGCTTTACTATCACATTGGAGGGGAAAGTATGTTAGTGTGTGTGTAGTGGGTAGTAGTGGGTAGTAGTAGGTAGTAAGTAGTATGTAGTAGTAGGTAGTAATAGGTAGTAGTAGGTCGTAGTAGATAGTAGTAAGTAGCAAGCAGGTCATAGAGAAAGATTCTTATCTTCATATTCACTCCATCACCTACAAACTACCTAGGTACTACCACCCACCTAGTTTACTATGGCAAATTACATTAATGGTTATTTTGGATATCAAATCTCAAGGGATCCATATGTTAGCTACTGCATGCTATACTCATTACTTATTCACTCTATTACTCATTTAGAGCCGCTCTTCTTTGTCTGGAGTGCCTATGATATGAGGTCCTCAGTAGCTACCTACCTACCTACCTATCAATCCTCTCCTCTCCTCTCCTCTCCTCTCCTCTCTCATTCATAAAAATAATACTCGAGTGATAATAATAATCGTCAACACCAAATAATAATCAAACCCTGATCTCACTCCACTTATTAATATCCACTCTCATACATTCCCCCTCCCAGAATCCAAATTGGGAAAGACATTAGCGCAAATCCAGCCGAGAATTTACTTCGTAGACCTTTCACCCCTTCCCTATTTTGATGATAATTGATTATTCTTTCCCAACTACTAATGACTAGCAATTATAACTAGGGACTAGGTAGTATAAACTCACCCAAGGCGAAGACTAAATAATCCCAGAACAAGAGGGAAGTCAAATCAAAAAGACTCTTTCTCTGTTCGTTCATTCATTCAACCATCGATTCATCCAACCAGTTCCTTTCCGACAAACTACCTCCCTACCTCCCCCATCCACCTACCAGAGATCAACTTTGGTTCACATAATTGTTTCTCATTCCATTCCATTCAAACTTGAAGGATATTTTTGTCCCATCTATTTGGTCGACCAAGAACCTCGACTTGACTTGACTTTCCTAGGGATTAAGGATTGAAAGAGTGTATTGTTGATACTGGTAAGTAACTAAGTCTGACTTTCTTTGTTTCCTTCTGGATTGCACCATTCCTCATCGCATCGCAATCGAAAGAGCATAAATAGTAGCAAATCAGAGTGCATCCATTCACACTCACTACACAAATTGTCTTGTCGGGAAGACCGACCGAGTGCGACACACAAAACATCTTGAACATCATTTACGACTCGAACCCTTTTACACCATTTGGAACACCAACTATATCAATCTCGGAAAGAAGCATTGCATCTTTCTTGCATTGCATTTCAAACCCCCATCCCCTATTCACCAACCCGACCGAGTTCAATTCAACTTCAATCCAGCATCTCATTGCTGATTGTCGATTGTCGCCTTTGCTTACCATCAGCAATATCTCTCAATCATTCAGCCGCAGTTATCCATTGTCTGATTTCCGCTAATCATTTACCTTTCACAGACTGCACTCTATCTTGCGGCCGGTTCTGCGACGAATTTACTCTCACCTTACGACTTTTTTTTTTACGACTTTTAATAATTAAATACCACAATAATCTATCAAGATGGGTTGCGGTATGAGCACTGAGGAGAAGGAGGGAAAGGCGAGGAACGAGGAGATCGAGAATCAGCTCAAGAGGGACAAAATGTTGCAGCGAAATGAAATCAAGATGCTTCTTCTTGGTAAGTAATATTATCCTTAATCACACTTCATTATCATCAGTTAGTTAGTCTAACACTTTCGTAGGAGCTGGTGAATCTGGAAAGTCTACTATCTTGAAACAGATGAAACTTATCCACGAGGGAGGTTATTCGCGCGACGAGCGAGAATCATTCAAGGAAATTATTTTCAGCAACACCGTTCAATCAATGCGCGTTATCCTCGAAGCCATGGAGTCCCTGGAATTGCCTCTCGATGATCAAAGAGCAGAATACCATGTTCAAACCATCTTCATGCAGCCACAACAAATTGAAGGAGATAATTTACCACCCGAGGTCGGAAGTGCTATCGCAGCTTTATGGAAGGATGCCGGTGTTCAAGATTGTTTCAAAAGATCAAGAGAATATCAATTGAACGACTCTGCTAGATAGTGAGTATTTAGTTGTGGATATACTTCGGATACCTGTCAGAATTTCTTGTGAACAAAGCTGATCCTAACACTCTTTGTCTAGCTACTTTGATAACATTGAAAGAATCGCTCAACATGATTACATGCCAAACGATCAAGATGTTCTTCGCTCTCGTGTCAAGACCACGGGTATCACCGAAACCACATTCATCATTGGAGACCTCACCTACCGTATGTTCGATGTTGGAGGACAACGTTCCGAGCGAAAGAAGTGGATCCACTGCTTTGAGAATGTCACCACGATCCTCTTCTTGGTTGCTATCTCCGAGTACGATCAACTGCTTTTCGAAGATGAAACTGTCAACCGTATGCAAGAAGCGCTTACACTTTTCGACTCGATTTGCAACTCAAGATGGTTTATCAAGACCTCAATTATCTTGTTCTTGAACAAGATCGATAGATTCAAGGAGAAGCTTCCCGTTAGTCCTATGAAGAACTACTTCCCAGACTATGAAGGTGGAGATGATTACGCTCTCGCATGTGACTACATCCTGAACAGATTCGTCAGTCTCAACCAGCACGAGACAAAACAAATCTACACCCATTTCACTTGCGCTACCGACACTACGCAAATTCGATTTGTCATGGCGGCTGTTAATGGTAAGCTTCCTAACTCTCGAGTGTTCTATACCTTTTCTAACTTATCCTAGACATCATTATACAAGAAAACCTCCGCTTGTGTGGTCTGATATAATCATGGAATACCCAACTGCAGTCGAACAATATCGACTACAGAAATCTTCTTAATTCAGCATGGCGTTAATCACAAAACCGGGGTCTCATTTTTCCAATACCAACATCTTCTTGCACAGTCACTTTCGGTCTTGCAACCTTTTTTTGCTATAGAACCATTGTTTTTCTTCGAAGGGGGTGTCGAGGGTACGGTAGTATCGGGGCACTTCATGGGTTGTTTTACTTGACCTCCGCTTCGATGTGCCATCTATTATATCCCTTCTACGTTTTAGGGCGTAGCATCGACCGAGACTATCTTCTCTTATTACTTAAGTTTTGTTTTTAAATTCTGTTTGTCATATTAATAGCGACGACGTAACACCGTTCGGGATGTAGTTGGTTTAATGCCAACAACTGATGATGTCGCACGGTTTGCGGTTTGCCGTGTTCTCTTTTTTGATGAGGGTGGGGGAGTTGTGTAGTAAGTCGCGAGTGAGATGAACAAGATGAAGCTTTGAGCTGGTTAGAAGGTTGCAGGTGTACGAACACGAAGAAGGGTGATTGTTGGATGGCTCGTTGGGCTTAAAATGATGGTAGTGGTGGATCTCCAGGCTGATTGGTTGGCCGAATCGAACCAACTGCTTATTCACGTTAGGCATTGATACCATAGTCAATTAATTAAAAAGATTCATATTGATCTACCTTTGTACTTGCGTTTGCTTTTTGTGATCATTAATGTGTACTTCGAGTTGGGAAATGATAGGCTAAGACATTCATGACCAGCTATGGTAAAGTTTTGTAACTTAGGCAACCTCGTGGCAACTAAAGCCTGCAATAAATAACACATGATTGTATCCTTTTCAACGCTACACTGCGATAATTGTAACACCAAATTTGAACCTCGTACATTGATCATTGTCTGTCTGTCCACTTGTGTTTAATTTCTACTTACACAAGCAACGTGATAAAAATGATATTTTCACTGCGCAAACGATCCAACGTCGGGATCGTGGGAAGGTGCAGGTGGCTGGTGCTGGGATGCTTGGTTGTGGGAATGATGGTGGAAGGTGTTTGGGGAAGCATCACGTTGGAGAGTGTGAGGGGGATTACGGGGATTACGAGGGAGGGGAGGGAGAGGGTGGGGTGGGGTGAGGGGGGTGGTGGTATTGGGAATGGGAATGGAAAGGGGGTGGAGATGAGGTTGGGGACGAGGATGGGGGTTGATGGGAAGAGGAGAGATGGGGAGGGAGAGGGGAAGGGAGGACAGGTGATTATGGGGACTGGGAATGCGGGTGGAGATCGAGATGAGATTGAGAATGTGAGTTTGTTTGCTTTCTTGTCTGGATTCTTGGATTCCTTGATTCTTGGATTCTGTAGCTTTGGGGTCGGGACTGGGGGTTGTTGATGGTGGATGATGCCGTGATGATTATCAAGAGACGGAAAAGGGAGAAAGGGGTCGAATTGCTGAAATGTGATGAACGGGATGGGGCTATGATTTTTTTTAATTCTTTGAATGGAGACAAGACAACGCGATAGGGTGATCAAAGAAGACACACAACTAATGATAGCTAACCTTTTGTTTCCGCAGACGGTAACGGCAGCTCTGCATATGCTCTGTTCGGATCTGTTGGTTGAGTTGGAGAAACCGCTTTTGGGTTCTTCTTCTTCCCCCTTTTCCTCTCAATCTTTATCTTTCGAAGATACAAAGATAAAGGTATGTTCTGTGATTCTCCCATGTCCGTACGACAAAAGATCCCAGCTGATGGCAAATAGGAAGAAGTAAATTGTACACAGGTGAAAACAGAATTTGATGATTTGCTAAGGGAAACAACGTGGTTTCTATATCAGGTACAGGAACGTCAGATGGTGTGGAGGTGGGCGAGGGGGAGCGCGGTGCAGGAGGGGGTGGTATGGTTGCAGAGGTTGTGGGCTAGCAGGAGGAGTGTGAGTTTTCTTTGGTTTCCTTTCGACTGCTTTGAAACGGGAAATGGGAATTATAACTAACGAGGACAGAATTCACAAGATAGAAGTTTTATTGAACAGCAATTGGTGTTGTATAAGGGTACGGAATGTTTTGAGAAGGTGAATGATGAGGTTTTGAGGAAGGATATTGAGGTGGTGGAGTATCTGAATGATTTAATTGAGATGTTTCCTTGATGGAGGAGGGGATTGGGGGTGAAGGTGGAGGTGGAGGAAAGGGAGGAGATGAATGAGGGCGGGGTGATGGAGTATGGAGGGATGGGATAGAATGGTGCGGGAGTAGGTTTATTGAAAAGTGATGCAAGATTGTTTAATGGGGAATGAGTCAGGAAGTGGATAAGGAGTCAATGGAAGAGGTGTTTAACAATGACGAGAATTGAGCAACGCAACGAGCATGGAAGATGCATCATATCGGATTGTGAATAGACTGAAGTGTGTTAGATTGGTAGGAGTAGTAAGATTACATATATCATTCAGCAATGGGCAGGAGTACAATAGAGGATCAGTATTTGGGACTGACTGACACTTTCTTATACTTTGTCTTCAATTTTCCATATTTGCAGGAATTCTACTGTTCGAAGTTATATTCTGAGCTAGATGAGCCCCAAGGAGATTCACCCAAGAATTTTGGAGCAGTGTATAAATACTTATATGTACTCCCCCATCGACGCTCACTTCCACAGCCCCGCCTAACACACTCCACACAACGAGACGCTGAGGACAAGCTGATCGCGAGGCACACATACTCTTGCTCTCTACCTTGGCTCCAGAACATTACACTGAATCCTTAGACTTACCAGTATGATGCTTCATATTCGTTACTTCATGTGATATAGCTAAGGTATACTAATTGGGTAACAATCCATCCCAACTCGCCAGTCGAAAAACTACCACTTCCGCACCAATAACCCCAATAACTACCTAGTCTCTACCGAATTCCCCTCAATCTATCCCAAATCCCCAATTCTACTCATCCAAGCAGCCTCCACTAACCTACCTACCTACCTACCTACCTATCTCCATCCACCATTTCCCCCAAACACCATCCCATGATACCCATCCCTCACACAACACCAAACCAACCAATCCACACCCCACCCCAAATCTAGAACACTCCCCCCAATCCCCATCAATAAATATCCGAGACTCTAATTCGACTCGGGAATCCACATGGAATAGGTATACTAAACTTTAAATATAAATCGCACTGCGGAAAGTGGACAATAGGAGTTTTGTTGCACGTCTGAATTTTCGCATGTTCGCCGACCTTGGGTTTTCAGGCCGCTTTGGGATGGGTTGCTGAGGTGGCCGAGCTGACGGCGCTTTTGCGTTGTTACATGATGACTCTGTGTGGAAGGGAAGGGATTCGAGGTTTGTGTGTAAGCGAAATGATGGGCGCACTTAGTGGGTGCACGGACTCACGGGATAGCTTGTAAATAAAGCATAATTTTATAACGTAACTTATAGTGAACCAGATTATATAGGGAACCAGATCACAAAATTCAATTCTCTTTATATAATCTTGTTCTACAAACTACATATTCATTTAATTCCAATTCTAAATCACTTAAACTATTCTCTAGCTCTTTTTCTTTAATCTCTTCTTCTAATTCTTCAATTAAATATTTATATAATTATTCTTATAGCTTTTTCTTCTTAAATTTTTCCTTCATCTTATATACCATTTTCAATACTTCCTTATTACTAAAAACAAATTGACCTTATAATTTAACTCTTTTATTTTTAATTCTTTTCTTTTAAGTTTTAATTACCTTCTAAACATTAACAAACTATTTCCAAAATAGAACTATCTCAATATTTTGAGATTCTATAAGCCTAATCATTCTTTTAATATATCGACAAATTAATAATACAAGAGAATCATTATTTGCTAGAACTTTATTAAAGGTTTAATTTGCTTGTCTTAGCTTTATCTCATCTGGAGAAAAACTTTTAAGTATAGATAAGTCTAGATTTTAATTGAAGGTTCTCATTTATAGAGTAGAAGATTGCTGAGAGAAGTTAAATGGTAATGAATTGAATACTTTTTATAGAGCAAAAGGTACTAAACTAGCTTTTCTTTAGTTAGTTTTAATATTAAAAGAATTCAATGCTTTTTTTCTAATATTTTGAAAGAGTTCTATTTATTCAGCTCTTTGGATTTGCTTTACATTAACTCGAGAATATTAATCAACCTTTAAAGTATGATATCGTTTTATTGGCTTATATATTATAATATTAAATGATTGAAGTAAGTGAGAGTAATAAAAAGGTAATATAAATAAATCAATATCCTTCTTTATATAGAAAATAATAAAGCTATTTATAATATAATTTGAATAACTATTCATAATTAAAAGTTAAAATCGATCACCTAACACTTTCTTGAATTCTAATTCGAAAACCCTTTTTAGTCATTCTAATTTATAATTGTTTAAGGTCTATCTATTTGTACTAATAAAGAACTACCAGCTTTAAGATATATTCTTTAAAATTTATACAGAATTTATATTCTAAGCCTTAAAAATGATCATAAATGATAAAGTCTTTCTAACTGTATTAATACATTCAAATATAGTTATTCATTCTTATTTACCAATTATAACTTTTCAATTTAATTTCTGAGTAGAATTAATTATAATATATATACTTTAAGTATTTTCAATTTCAAATCCGATTTTGTTTATATTATATATATCATCTAATTTATACTTTCATTTAATAAGATATATACAAAACATATCAAACTAAGTCTGAATATTCTTCAGTATTATTTCTTTAGTCTAATTAGACTTTAATTGATATGAGTAATATATCTTAAATTCTGGATATTGTTTTTGGAATCTATAAATCCATTTGTAATTTATAAATAGAATTTCTATTGAAATAGGAATTCGAAATGATATAATCTGAACATATTAAAAACGAATTTTATTAATCATTTCCTTCACCAATATAAATGTAATAGGGAATTTAATAATAATAAGTTGTGAAATTCATTATATAAGAGTATTTTCTTTTATATTTGAAAGAATTTAAGCTATTTTGTAGAATTGAATATATAATTTCCTTTCAGCAATTCTAGCTATAAGAATTAATTTAGAAACTTCAAAATACTCTATAGCCTTTCTAATTGATTTAAATTCCTTCAATTGAAATATAATAATAACATTCTATATCTTTTTTTCAATTTGAAAAGGTATAAGAGATGATTTAGTATGTATAGCAAAATTTGTTAGGGTTTGAAGTCAATAATGGGCTAAATGTAACCCGATTCCTCATATGACCCGGTTCACTATAAGTTACGTTACTAATAAAGACAATTTAAATAATTCAATCAAAATTCGAAATATTTCTAAATTTCTTTGAAATCAATATTTATAGCTATTAAGTATAGAGATTTTATATAATTTCAGAATCGAATTGAAAAGATTCAAATGAAAGCTTTTTTAATTGAATATATAATTTCTCATTAAAATTGTAACGAACCTAACAAACGTTTAAAGATTAACCTTAAAATTAAAAGCTATAGAACTAAAGAGAATATATTATAGCACTATATATACAATCAGTTTAAAGCTTAATATCATACTAGCCCAATCAAACATAATTATATATATATTGTGATATTACTCCCCCCTTTTAAGAAGTTTGTTTCAAATTTATTTTAAATGAATAATTTAAGTATAAAATATAATTAATAAAATTCTATTTCATTATTATTATTATTATTTTCTTTATCAATTTTTTATAAAATATCTTAAAAGACTAGATACATTACTATCAAATAAAAAGTATTAATAAAAGCTTATATCTCTTTTAAATGATCTTTAAAATATTAATCATTAATCACCTTATTTAAATCCTTATCATTATTATTGTTATAAAAATCAATAAAAGTGAGTGTAACAATTAAAATAGATTCTTTTCGATCTTAAATGCCTTAATATAAATCAAGCGGGTAGGATTGTATTCAATAAAAAGCACTTCCATATTAGATATATTTGTTTTCCTTATATAATTGAGTTCTTTCAATAGGGGAAAACTCGAACGCTTTAGTATAAAATAGGATTGAGATATAATTAGCTTTGTTTAAAAGAATATTAAAAGTACTAAGGATATTAAGATTACTAACTGTTACGGAGGTACCCGCACCGCAACATGGATTATAAGGTAAACCTAAGGCCTTGATGTTGGGACCTACGGAAACAGCGCTGTAGGGACAATCGGCTAAAGAGTACAGGTTAAATAAGCAGTAGCATCATTACCAATTACAAAATGGATATCATATGATCAGGAAACCGACTTATCGAAATCAGCTTTACGGTAATCGACTTATCAATTCATAAGGTATAAAGGTTTATATAAGAGAATAGGTTTCATTATAATATAAAGCTTCGTATTTAAAAACAATTATTAATTTTATTACTATAATTATAAGAATTATAACCAATTACAACCTTATTGAATTCCTACTTGAAATCTAGACTAAGCTACTTCAAAAGAACTCTAGACACTTCCACATAACCCTAGAGGCAGCTCCCGTAACACTAACATTCATTAAATCATAGTTTCGAAAATGAAATGAATTCTATAATAAATATAAAGCTCTAGGTTTACTAAAATGAAATAATACAGAGAATCTATTCATTATATATACAGCTAATTGTTATATAACCTAAATAAAGTTATAATACAAGCAAAATAACAAAAACTATTGAAAAAAACGATTTCTAAAAGTAATATTGAATCCATTATAAAAGATTGAGATCTTATTCGAATCGGACTAGTTTTGGCCTTTTGCTTTATAAAAAGTTCTTTCAAATTTTGTAATATAAATATATAAAGAATTAATTCCTTATTTAAAATTAAATAGTTTATCTTCAACTTCCTATATTTTATTTGAATTATTATAAATATGTGTAAATTGATCTAGAATTATTATATAATCTAAAGGAACATTTTGATCGAAAAAAGAAAGCTAAAATAATACTATAACTTATATATAAGATTCAAGATTGAAATAAACATAATAAAATTAAGTAATAAGGTTATTAATTATAATACCATCTACTTATAGTTTTATTTGAATTAAGAGTAATTGTATATCAAATTTCTAAAAGCTATTATTAAACTTTTTAAAATTAGGAAGAAAGGGTTTTGATTAAAAAGGTGTTTAAACAATAAAAACATATTCAAGGATTAAAAAGTATAGAAACAAGATTTTATTTTATTAATAAATCACTTCGTTACAAAGTTCTATAATCATAAGGTTTATCAAATCGTAATTCATAATTAAGAAATTAAAAGTAAGAAAAGAAACAATACCTTCGAATAGTATTAAAAAGATCTATATATAGGCGAGAGAGTAGGAGTAATATATCTAAACAGAAATAAATAGAATATATATAAAGACTTTATTTATGAGTATATATTAATATTATTTCATTTCTTATCTAAAAGAACTTTTAATAATATAATGAACCTAATAAACATTTAAAAATCAATCTTAAAATTAAAAGCTATAGAACTAAAGAGAGTATACTATAGTACTATATATGTAATTAGTTCGAAGCTTAGTGTCGTACTAGCCCGATCGGACGCGATCATGTGTATACCGTGACAAAAATATTTTAATAAAAAGATATAGTATTAGATTTTTGAGTTCAATTTTCAAGCATTTCAATTTTTTTTTCAAATGTATTATATTTTGATACTTAATAAATCTAATGTACAATTTTAAAAATATTTAATTAATTGTTGAATTCTAATGGAATTTAGAGTTGTTAAATTTTGATGTGAAATTGTACTTATTTCTTGAGTGTCCCGTGTGCCCGTACAACTACTAGTAGCTGAATTTGAAGAGCTTTTGAAATGGTTTTTATAATTAACTAATTACTATAAATCTTTTTGGGATGAAGGGATATTTATTTTATTAGACGATTCGGGCTATGTAGAGACTGGACTTCTGTTTTATCTTTGTTCATTTTGTGGTTTTATTTGTGGTTGATTTTTGGTTTCAATTAATCAATGAGGTTGAAGTATTAAATCCGGCCACTTATTTCGCTGCCGCAGAGGCGGGAGCTCACCGGGAGCTTATCGGTAAGATTCAAAGTCGGCGATCGGGACTTCTTTATTTCCACCAGCCACAGTTGTGTTTGGAAGCGGAATTTACAGGGGTAAAGCCACAATGGTAGTGGAACGAATCGACCAAGGATGTGGAATGATTGGCATCATTGAAATCCATATATTTGATAATATAATGTGATGAAGGACACACAACTTTCATGATTTGTTAATTTGAGTTTTGATCTTTGCAGCGAGGAAACATGGCAAGACTTAATACAGTACCTGTTCCGGCGAGGGATCCCACGGCTACGAATTTGGATCGGATGTTGGTGAGATTACAGAAAATTATCTTGGGTCCAGATACGTCTGCCACTTCGCAAAGCTATGCTGAGTGGGTGAAGATGGGCGCGGTAAGAATCTTTTCTTTTTTTCTTTGAGAAAGGGGAGGCTGATTGTGTGATGCTATAGAACCTGGAATATGCGCGGGGTTTACTGGTTCATGTAGAGCAGGATGCGCAGAATATCAAAGTGTTATCGAGAAAACAGGAGGTACAGGCGGATTTGGTGCGCAAGGGACATTTGATACAGAGACTTGGTGAGAGATTAGAGGAGTTACGTGAGGTGTGTATATTCTTTGATCTGCGGGAATTGGGATGCATGCTAATACTCTAATTACAGCTTGCAAGTTATGAGGAAGAAGGCGAGGATTCCTCCGAGGGCGAAGATTTGTTGGGAATGGCGCAAGATACTCCTTCGGAAACGACAGACGAAATGATGAATACGAGTGAAGAACGATCAACACCTTCTCCTACCGATTATACATCTTCTCCTATCATACAAACAGAATCGGATTCTGCGCCAGCACAAATACAAACTCAAACTTCTCAGATTCCCGAATCATCTACTCTTCGCTCTCGTAATCCCCGCGCGGAACTTTTCGAGAAGTCTTCAAATCAGGCTTACACAACATCCACCTCTACATCTACTTCTACCTACCGACCAGCTCCTACCCCCTCAAGCACCACCACCGCCACCACCGAAACACTCCTCACGCACCACCGCACCGAACAAGAAGATCTAACCAATTCTCTCCTCTCCATGGCCCAGGAACTGCGCGCTCGCTCCCAAACCTTCGCCAGTACCCTCGCAAGCGATTCTTCGGTGCTCGATTCTGCAATTGCGGGGATCAATAGGAATGAGCTAGGATTAGAAGCGGCATCGAAGAGAATGGGATACTTGAGGAGTATGACGGAGGGGAGGGGATGGTGGGGTCGCATGATGATGTATGCGTGGATTGCGGGGTTGGCGGTCCTGGCGATCTTGGTGGTGTTTGTTATGCCGAAATTGAGGTTTTGAGTTGGGGATGGAGGTGAAGGTGAGGGGGTTGGAAAGGGGGGTTACAGTGAAGATCGTTTGAGATGAGGGAGGGGAGAGAGTCAGCAAAAATGGGATGGCGTTTTTTGAGCAAAACAGGTATTTGATGGAAGGGGGGAGTTTTGCGGTGTTTGAGGTGCTTGGGAATACCATAAATAGTGGTAGGCTTTCTTCTAGCTTGATATATTGATTCTAGCATGTTTGGACGGGCTTTAGCGGAGCTGTCTTATGATATGATGTATGTTTTTTTTAACATGTTACACAAAGTGGAAAGGGGAGGCAGAAAGATGATGTATTGTATTGTATTTGTTAAGTTGGCAAATGGCAATATAAGTTTGTGGGTTTTGTCGTGTGTTATGTGTTATGTATCATTATATTACTTCACACTGTATTGTATTCCATTGCGAGTTCGCTTTGGTTCCGTGAGCATGAAGAAACAGATGAAGATAGAGGATGGGTTGTTAGTTGTAAGCTTTATTTGATAAGTGATGAAAAATAAATAATCAATGATCAATGATTGGTTTATCAAAACGCTAATGCATAACTATGCTGGAATTATTTGTTCTTGGGTACTTGCTTTTGGAAATGAATGGTGTTGTTGATGTTTCTCTCAGTGGATGTTTCTCTCAGTAGATACCTAAGTAGAAAGAGATGTAAAGAGAGAGAGAGATGTTCAACTGATCCATCCTCCATCCTCCATTCAATCCAATCCAGTTCGATTCGAGTCGATTCAATTTCCCATATCAAATAACTATATGTCATCCCTATCCCCATTTCTCATAGATCATATAGCATCCTCATCTCCCATTTCCAAACTCCATTTCCAAATTACAAATCCCAAATTCCATATATCATATGCCCTATGCCATCTGCTATCTCCCATCTGCTCCGTGTCTACCGAAGATCTCTCATATCTCTCATACCTCTCATATCTCTTGAGAATGTGCAGAAAGAAAAATTTCAGGTAAATGACTATGAAATGAATTGATGAATTGATGAAAATATGAAATCAAATGAATTGATAAAAAAGGTAGTTGCAAAGAAAAAAATACTTAAGAAGTAAAAATAAAAAGATAGAAAAATGGTGTTGCATCTAAGCCCGGTGTGATACTTCTGGGTCTGAGAAGAGAGGAATTCAGTATGAAGATGTGGAGGATGGTGAAAGAGGTGAGATGATGAGAGATCGCGTATTGTTGGTGAGTTGGATATGGTTTTGTATTTCGTGCGGTGGTGACGGGTTGTATTTGTGTGGTTGGGTAATCGTTCCTTTAAATTTTAGATTTCGGACGTGATAGCGATCCAGATAGAGAGAGAAAGGGAATGTGATATGAGATGCAAGATTGGAAATAGCGGAAGTCTTCCGGAATCGAATGATTTTTGGTGAAAAATATCGAAATCTTATAAAATAATAGCATGATCGACAGAATTTCCCGAGACGGAAAAAGAGCGTTGTGTTTGCGAAACACAATTTGTGGTAGGAGTTCTGAGAACAGAAGTTGGACTTGTGAGATGTTAGGTTAGGGGTTTGTGGTGAGGAGCGGGGAATGCATGAATGAAGGAGATGAAAATCAAAGAACTTACCTATCCATTTCCAGTTCCTCATCCTCAGTATTCGCATCACTACTATTCATCTCCGTATCCGACTCCGAAATCACAATCACCATTTCCTTTTGCACATCCCTCACATCTCGCAATCTAGGAAGCTGCGCAAGATGATGCGCATGTCGATGCGTAGACACAGGAGCCGAAACCGAATCTCTCATCAGCTCATCGAATGTCTCGTCATCATCCACCTCACTATCACTATCATATTCGAATTCTTCTTTTCTCTTTCTCTCCTCCATTGCTCGTGTTCCCTCCATCAGTATTCTCTCTTTTCTCCTCTCGTTTTCGCGTTCTTTTTTCTCGACTTTGCTGTTTTCGTCTTCGGCTGAGGCTTCTGCATCTCGATATTGGATTTCCTCACCGCAGGAATCAACTCCGGCTTCGTGGGGAATGGAATCGGATTCGATATCTTTCCAGCTGGGAGCTTTGCGCCATGAAGGTAGCATGCCCATTGGTCGACTGAGGGTAGGTCGCTGAAATCGGAATAAATCTTTAGGATGATTTTCTGGGAGGGGTTCGTACCGATCGTCCCATTCGATGCCGGTTTTGGATTTGAATATGTTTTTGAAGTCGAGGAAGGCGTCGGCGAAGACTTTAGCTGTGGGGAGGGGATGTAAGATTAGTTTGGGGGTGTGGAAAGGAGGGAATAAGAGGAGAAAAGACTTACGACGACAATCTTCTCGAAGATAGGAGGGAATTTGATATGTAGTTGTTAGTTTTGCTCCAGCCATATAAGTATGTGGTTGAGCATTGGATTCGAAGAGGTAGACTGTATATTTCTGATTCTTGTTTTTGCCATGCAGAAGAACACGGGTGAGGACGACTTTATATTCGAAATTTGTATGATCGACATAAACATGATTGAGTCCTATTTTAAATTAGGTTGATCTTCCTCAAATCTGAAACTCCAGATACCAAAGTTCAAGCCAAGCAAGAATCAAGGTGCATAGTAACATAGAGATTCATTAAGGGGAAAGAATACATACGATCATCACACAATTCCTTACTCGCTTTCACATTCTCCTCGAATCTCTGTCGATACTTGATCTTCTGATCTTCAGTATGATGTAAACGACGGATCACACGGCCAAGTGTATATCCCGTAACGACAAGTTTCTTTTTCTTATTAGTTTCCAAAGTCAGACAATCGACGAGCCAGTCGATGACAACTATATGGCATCGTTTCCCCATAGCCATTGCTTTGCGAACTATAACATACACTCTGAATTAGCAAATATTTTCAATAAGACAAACACAGATATGTATATGCGATATATGAAGAATAACATACCCTGAGCCCCCTTCTTCTTATACTCCTTGATAGTCACAATCAAATGCGTCGTATACTCATCTACTTCCCTCACATACTCGCCTCCGTGAATCGTGATCCATTTACTGATTTTCTCGTAGTTCCATTGGGATTCGGCGTTGGGACCGGGATGCTCGGCGATGAAGTCGCCTGCGAGTGACATTTTGCAGCCGCTGAATATGGGTTTGAGTGCACCGTTGCTGTAGGAATTTTTGTTGCGTTTGGGTTTGGGGGGTGTAGGGAGAGAGGGTTTGTGGGATTTGGATTTGGATTTGGAGGGGGTTTTGTGTGTAGGGGGCTTGATGCGTGGCATGGTTGTGGTTGGTGGTCTGGAGGGTGTTAGCTAAGTGTAATGTAAGATATGGCAACAAAACTCTAGAGGAAATATGAATAGCAATTTTTAACAAATCGGCAATGAAGTTTCCCATCAACGACGTTGATGATGAGTGACATGAGTACGCCCAGCAAGAAAGCAGACTAGACGTAGCCCAAAACTAAAGCCAGAAGCACAATGTTATATAAATATACCATAATATCACGATTACAAAATGAACGACCCCAACACCTCAATGAAGTCTCACTCCGTACATCATAAAAATTAAATATCTCGCTTAACGCAAAATGATAAAATCTGCCCCCAAACCAAACACGATGAACCGAAAGTCTCCACAGGTGGAAGACCAGAACTTGGAGCAGACACTAAGCTACGAAATGATTTGAAGGGTGAATCTATTGAGAGATACTTGAATAGGAAAGACAAAACATAAAATAACAACTTACGAAGATATTGGATCTTGCAGATCAGGAATATGTCGTTTTGATAAATGGTTCAGCTGACGATAGATGAAGAGAAGTTGTAACTTTGACGAAATGATATCCGGAAAGAATTCAAACTCTAGATAAGAGCCTAGGAAGGAAGAAGTTGCACTCTGAAAAGAAGGCAGAAGGAAGATTGCTGTAGGATAACTCAAGTAAATAGTAATAAGATCAACGCGATCGAGAAAGTAATGTAAAGAGTATGGCACACAGAATAGTAGTGTGAAAAGAAGTAGGTATTCGGTTGTAACTTTGGGATTGTTGAGAAATTGATATTGAAGTGGGGCAGGACAAAAGGTATTGAATATATTTCGAGACTAGAGAGGTAGTTGCGACTGTGGATGGGAAAAATTGATTCGTCCGAACACTAGTATGGACGAGATTGTTTCTTAACGATTGAGGGGTACTAATTGAGAGGCATGGAAAATAAAACTAGCCCACCTCTCAAGTTTCAAGTATAATAGTTATTATAAGTGGGTACTTGTACTAGTAGCTCGAAGTGATTAGTGGAAGTGAATTTCCCTTCTCTTGAAAGTGAGAATGCTTTCGGTAGAGGCGAGGATGAAAAGGGGGCAACCGATGTTCATGCGAAATGTCACGAAAGAACTGATGCAAGTCCAAGTACCCAACATTTTGACCAAGAAATTGAACATGTTTGAAATGATAGATCGTGTATCGCAATTTCACACCTCGAAGGACGATTCAAAAAATATTCAACTGATAAATCGACTTTTCATAAGACGAGTCATCAGTCATTATTTGCCATCAGAATTCATTTCATGATACCTAGTCATGTCTATCTGACGCTCTTAGCTGCCTTGATGAAAGCTTTGATCTTCTCGATACTCTGAGCACCATTTTCTTCCACGCCACTACTAACATCGACACCAATTACCCGATCACCAACATCCCCCGCTGATAGCACAGCCTCTGCCACGTTCTCAGCATTCAATCCACCAGCAAGAATTACTCTGAGACCTTGATCTTCGTTCAAAGTAGCTTTAACTTCTGTTATATCTAATTTTTGTCCAGAGCCACCTGATGCGGAGTCTAGCAGAGGAATGGTATGATAACCTCTTCTCCCAAGACCAACCTGACCAGGTTTGAAGCTTCGAATGACAGGAACTGGTATTATGTTTGCCCATTCCAATGGTTCATCGCCGTGTAGCTGTACTATATCCAAATCATATGCCTTTTGCAGCTCTAGAACCTCTTCTAGAGGTTGATTTTGGAAGACACCAACCAATAAAGGACGATGACTTGAAATGTTGGAGGCTGCATTGCTGAAGAAATCCGATGCTTGGTTGCTCACGCGATCACTAACAACTGTTCCTGTCGTTTGTTGAGCCTGATGAACAGCTTTTGAAATAGCAATTGCATCTTTGTATGGAACATGTCGACCTCTACCGGGAACGAGAATCATCCCGATTAAATCTGCACCAGCTTTGACAGCTTCCGTTGCAGTCTCAGCATTTCTTGTCCCGCAAATTTTCACAAGTAGACTGCCACTTGCGGGTTTTACTTGGGTAGTTGAACCGCCGAGTAATTCTCGAATGAAGAGAGCGGTATCTTTGGCTCGCATAAGTGCTTCGCCCACAAGGACCGCACCTACGCCATTCTTTTGATAGGCTTCTACATCCTTAGGGCCGGAGATACCACTGAGAGCACATACAATGGTTTCTTTCGGAACTTGATTGAGGAGACGACTTGTAGTATCTAGGTCTACCTCAAAACTGGTTAGATTTCGGTTGTTCACACCAATAGCTTTTGCACCAAGGTTGACGGCTATAGTCATTTCTTCTGATGTATTGACTTCAACCAAAGGCTCCATTCCAAGCGATACGGAATAATGATATAAGCGGGTCAAGGTTTCTTCATCTAGCATCTTGACAATGAGTAAAACCGTATCGGCACCAGCTAATCTAGCTTCCAAAATTTGATATTCTTCGAAGATAAATTCCTTTCGTAAAACAGCAGGTCGATTTGGCATGCCTTCAAGAGCCTGTCTTACAGCTCGCAAGTCATCAATGCTTCCCTTGAACCACTCTGGCTCTGTTAAAACAGAAATCACGCTTGCACCAGCTAGAGCATATGTTCTAGCTTGGGCTGGTGCGCACGTTGATAAAGAGATGACACCTTTCGAGGGAGATGCTCGTTTGATCTCGGCCATAAGCGATAGTGGAAACGGAGACTTGCGAAGACGTTGGACAAATGACACGAGAGGGGGCGCAATATCGAGTTCATAGGCGGCCTGGAGATCGGAGGGTCGTTGGGAAGGAATTTCTTTTTGTGCGGAAACTGCGGCTTTGCGATGCGCGAAGATTTTATCCAGTATGTTCTCCTTTTTGGCACTCGTGGAACCAGATTTAGACGCTTGCGCCGTGCTGCTTGAACCCTCTTTTTGCAAACGCTCATTTTCCGCCCAAGTGCCACCTCGCATCTTCAGAAAGTTCTTGAGCATTACTCGACCTTCAGCAGTCAAGATACTCTCAGGGTGGTATTGCACACCTTCTAGAACATATTCTTTGTGTCGAACACCCATTATCACACCCTTTCCCCCATCAACACCAGCCTCGATCCAGGATGATACTTCGAGACATTCAGGTATAGTTGGATGTGTGCCGGCAAGCGAGTGATATCGTGTGACTGGTAAGTCTTGTGGTAGACTGGCATAGACTCCTTTTGAATCGTGTCGCAATGGAGACGTTTTTCCATGTAAGATTTCTCCGGCAAATACAACCTCTCCTCCATATACGTCCAATATGCACTGCCTAAGTATTTAATCAGTTATGTCCTACCCAACCAACTCCTCAATACTCACTGTCCCATGCAGACTCCAAACACAGGTATCTTGCCTGCGAAATATTTGATAGCATCTCTACTAACACCAGAATCGGTCTTCGGATGACCAGGACCAGGACTTATAACCAATTGAGTAGGTTTGAGCGCAACAAGTTCCTCCACGCTAAGTTCATTGTTTCGGTAAACAGTGACAGTCGCCCCTTCGAGAACGAGATATTGATAGATGTTCCAAGAGAATGAGTCGAAGTTGTCGATCAAGATAACATTTGAAGCAGATGCTAGTGGGGGAGCTGGCTCTGGCTGGTGCGGAGAATAATCGATTAACTCTGCAGAAGGCATTCTGAAACTTCTTTATCGCTTGAACAATTTATATGTCGTATAAGAGGAGAAGCTATGAAAATGAATGACTGTCTCTCTGGGTTAAAGAGAGAGGAGAAGATTTGAAGTTGTAAATTCCTTTGTGGTTCTAGATATCCATGAGTGAGTCAAAGATCAAAGGTCCTTCCTTTTTTTGGGTGGATGATGGATGATTAATGGATTTGAGTGATGGATGGTGGGGAGCATAGCAATAAATCAATGAAACTGCCCAGGTGCTGAATTGCTAGGATAACAAACCCTGCAAAGTAAAAAAAGCTTCATCTGAAAGATTGGTGAATGGTTACGGGACGGTGCGTGGGTGGTGCTCATAAGAGTTTATCTAGCGAATGAAGAAGGTTGACCGCGACAAGGCTATGGCGGACAAGGCGCGTCAACCAAAACTTTCTTAACGATTTATTGATTTATTGATTGTTGATATCGGATTTTCTCATAACAGAAAACGAACCAACCACGGTATGAAAATTTGAGCTTTCTCATGCTTTATGCTTCGAACAACACTTCACCACAAATCTTGGCTCATTGAGCTTGGGTAGGTCGTAGATATGGTACCAATTCCAGAGGCTAGCTATTTTCCTGATCTGGGTAGATGTTTGAAGGGAGAAGAAATATTGATGTAAGTTTATCGTTCATAATATCGATCCCAATTGACATTCTACTAATCTTTCGATAGCTCTTGGGAGACGGCATTCTTTGCCCTTTTAGATATTAAAGAGAATGGTGCCCAAATAACACTCGAGAGGTTCTTTAAAGAGCCCAAAGTAGCATCTGTACTTTCCGATCCTGTCACTGCCTTTCCAGAACCTACCAACGAGACGAAAACCAAATTCGAATCAAAACATTCCCCGATCAATGCCGATCATTCTTCTGCGGATTATGACGTTAGCAAGGTAAAGGAGGATGCACTATGGTTGAGTGGAATGGTCAAAATCGACGAGGTTACTGCTCTAAGACTCGTCGTGCAAGAACACCAATCGCGAGCATATGCGCAACTTCTGGGGAAACTTTCAGAAGAAGAGTTGATCAGTCTCCAAGATGCCTTTGGCAACAAAAAATCTACGAATTTGCTCTCTGCGGGTTCTTTCATTGGCACACAAGCGGAGGTTGCGCCATCAGAAGAAGAAAGTCAGAGAAATCGACGTATGCGAATGCTCAGCATTTACCTCTCAGAACGACGCTATTTCTGGAAATGCCTTACATTAATAATTCAGCGATCCAGACTTTCACCCACACCGACTACTCCAGTAGACGACTGGTACGAGGGTCTGCATACAGAATTGCTAGGCAGCTGGAAAAGTTCGGGCGCATCACAGAATCGTATGGTGGAACTGGTCAGAACTATTGATGCGGGGCTTACAAAATTATTTGATGCGAAAAGTGAAGGTAGCGGGTGGTCCTTGGAGGGTGATGGGCGGGATGAACTTGAGCTTGAGTGGGCAAGCAACCAGATCACTGAGGCAACCCACATGATGGAGACTATATTTTATTACATATTCTCTTCTGATACCGCGCTTGATATTTCTCAGTCAGACCTGGTGCTCGAATGGTTTGATTTTATTAGCAAATTTAAGTTCCTAGACGAGATGGGAATGGTACGTTTGTGATTCATACTTTTATATGCACATTACTGACCAAACACCACAGCTTCACCCGACTCTTCAAGCTGTTGCTCTACCCTTACAGACTATTAGCGCCATCATATCATCTGCCATACTTAACGTCGATAGTTGTTTAACATTCCTCGAGAGACCATCGAAAGATTTAGCTCCTGCTGATTTGGCTGAGGGTCCGAATAAGCCATGGTTATTAAACCAAACTGCAATTATCAAACTTCACCAAATACTCACCGAGGCAGCGTCCGCGAACTACATCACGGCTGGCCCTGCTGTCCTTACCTGGAGCGTTATTTTGAAGCATATCAAAGTTCGTGTCGATCTTCGAGAGAAACTTCAGCGCCGACGACACGAGGGTCTTAGTGATAACGATGAATATAACGATGAACCATTGGCGATTGGGTCGGAGCCTATACTTGCCCCCGATGCCTATGAAGGAGTACTTACAACAATCAAAGTCACGGACGAACCTGTCGATTATCTAGCTTTGAGCGCTGTAAACGACTGTCGTGTTTTCGAAGTACTGGCAACCATTTCACAGACTCTTGGTGACACTTATGATGCAGCCTTCATGCCACAACTTGGTTCAAGCTTGAGGATCGCGATATTAGAGCTCATGAAGGCAAGTGCACTTGATGTTGGCTACACTGCCCAAACGCTGCAAACTGTGGTTTCTGTCGTGTCTGGGGGACAACAATATTGGGATTTTGTTGATCAACGAAATGCTGGAAGCGATCTTGAGCCAACATCTTATTTTGTCACTGACGTAGGATTAACTCGCGAGTTTTGGCAAAATGCTAGTATGCGCTATCCTTGGGAAGCTGCCCCTTTTCAAACACTTGTTCGCTCTCTGGCATATCTGCATGACGTTGATGGAGGAGTTCATGAGTCTATCTTCCCATTGTTAGACTCTCGACTAACCTTTACATACCTATTACCATATCAATACGCTGATTATGAGACAGTTCAAGAGGAACATAACAATAACTCTATTCAACTGACTAGGGGTCTTTCAATGTTTGAGCCTCGAGGGCGTGGTGTCAGCAGAAGACTCTTGATAGAAAATGGGAACCAGGGCCAGGCTTTGGTACTAGCAGCAGCCAACAGCGATCTACAAATTCCAGCTGGAACGCCTGGTATTGTGATAGTCGAGAATGATCCAAAAGTAGTCCATCTTACCCACCATTATCGCGGTATGAGGTATTTCGGGAAATTGCTAGAAACATATCTAGTTGCGGGTGAAGAATATGACGCTACTACCGGCATGGGAGCGGACTCTGACACTGTTGCTGACATCATTGGAACATTTGCGACGGGTCTTCTAGCCTTATCTAGGTCAGACAAAGAGGCAGAGAAAATTCAAAATAATGCTACCGAATTTTTCCAGGTCGCAAGTTCGGCATTAAATCGGAACCGAGACATCACTCTCGTTATATCTGCTATCTTCGAACAAGAATTGCAAAGGCAATCGAGCGAATCTAGTTCCGACGCCTCACTTGATATTTTAATCAGCTGCATACAATATCTACATGCCTTACTTTTGTTTTCGCCTGGGAGAGTGTGGCCTCTTATTGGTCGTAGTGGACTTCTATCTGATGGCCGCGGTGGTGGCGGTAAACTCGCTAGTATCGTTGGCAGGGTCGAAGTTATATCGGGGAGATACTCATTCCTCGTATCGTGCACTCGGCTCTTCGAGGCACTGGTCAATGATTTCGCAGTAAATGCTATTGCAAGAAACCGCAAAGTAACTATGGCTCCAGCTCGGTTCAGCGAGGTCGAGGAACATAACGTTCGCGTTGCTGATAAAGTTCTCTCCGAAGTTCTTCTTCACTTTACTCGATACCTGACGGAGGTACTAGAAAGCTCGTACACCTGGCAGTTTGACCAACTCAGCGATCAACTCCAACTTACAAAGACCATCATGTCTTCTTTCGAAAAAATGCTCACATATGCTTTCGGAATCCAGAGTGATCCAGAAGAACTGCCACAATCGGACTCTCGTTCAAAGTCAGATCTTGGTAGAGATTCCAAATATCATCAAGATCCTGCTCTTCCAATCATGAGTGCTTTAAGCCCAGCTGCCATGCATATTGTTGATAGCTATCTGTCCAAGTCTTCTGGCCCCATGAGATTTGGACCAATCCTTCGCACCTTATTCTACGGCTTCAATACCCGTTCTACCACAATGTATACAAATAGATTACTATTAGTGGCGGGGGGCGTGAAAGCAGCACTTAAATTCTCTAGGCAACTTCTTCGATTAAGTGCATTATTAGAGAAGCCATCACATCTAGAGACGCAGCTGTTCACTGCTGCACCACTAATCGCACGACTATATGCCGTAAATGATAGCTATCGTACCCCCGTCGTAAAATTGTTCGAGGCGATGATAGTCAGCGCTTCGAGTAGTACCTCAGAACCACCTTCGCTCCTAGGTTATCTTGGCGCGAAGACTTCGAAGAATTTCCTTAATGTCGTGTCAGATTTGGATACACCTCTAACTAGAGATGAAAATGTTGGATCGATTTGGCATTTCCTGTCGATGATAATGAGCAGTCGACAACAATGGTTCGCGAATTATGTTCTCACAGGCAAAACGCCGAGAGACGCATTAAAGAAGAAAAACCCCGATGCTGCCAAATCTTTATCCCCAAAACCTCTTCTTCTCACAGCGCTTGACAATCTTTCACAAATCGGAGATATTCCGGATACAGAAGCTTTGATGATGTTAGAATTCGTCTCATTGGCACAGAATTTCTGGCCTTGGACTATGCACGAGTTAGAATCTAGCACAGGCTTCATCAATTATCTCTCAAACTACATCAGCACCCTGAAACCTATTCAAGTCTCGTCTAAGAGCGAGCCAGCAATTAAGGCTTGCTATCGTACTCGAATTGCGGCTTACATTGCCGAGATTCTTGCAATGCACCTTTTCCATTCTAGACAAACCGGCAAACCTTCAATTGCCAAAGACCTCATGCCCAAGCTGAATTATTACTATGAGAATGCAGGGGGGCTTCCTACCTACAATGCTTCTCTCCATGGCAACCTCAAGAAGAACTTCGATGCAAAGTATGCCAGAACCAGTCTCCAGAGTTTCAAGAAGACGGATCTAGAGGATCGCAAATTTGGCGAGAACTATTTTTACGATCTACAACTACTTGACCAAATGCTCCGTTCTGACGTAGCTTGGATAGGACGAAGAAATGATGGTTATAAATTCGAGCTTGCAAGTGCTAACATCAACTTGTCTTTGGTTGATGCTCAAGTGGTAAGTAAGCTATGAGCAAATTCTAATGTCAATTCTAACAATCTTAGGCTCTATTGAACGCTTGGAAAATTCTTGCCGTGGAATTAACTAGCAATATAACTCAGGAATCTGATCACCAAGAGACCCTTGTTGATGCTGCTCTTAGGTGCCTTGCCTCAAATGCACAAAGTCCGCAAACAGAAAAAATATTTTCACGATTACTTCAAACACGTGCAGACTTCGCGCTTGTTGCCTGTCAACGGTTGATAGAAGCAAATCCAAGGTGTCCTAAGATGAAGGACCTTCTCAAAATAGTATGGGAGACAGTCCGGACCTTGGACAAAAGCTTTGCGATGGCAATTGCTACAGGAGATGGTCCATACTATAGACTGCTTCTCAAAATTTTATTCTTGGCTTTGCGAGTCCATGCTGAAGACAACAACGTCGGAGATATTGACCCCAGGGTTTCCACACGAAAACAACAATTGGAATCGGAATCGACAGCAGATATCTATATGATTGTCGACGTTATAGAACGTGTAATTGCTGGCGGCTTCAGTGATCTGGCTCATATCATTCATGACAATCATGAAGAGTCTTCTCCAGAAGACATCGCCCTTATCACAGGTCTTTTGCAAGCCTGTCTCCGGATACCAGGCATCGAGTTCCATCACTCACAAATTGTGACCATCATGGCTAATTGCAGGACCCCTCGTATTGCTACTACACTCTTCTCCTGGTCTGACCAAATTGCGATAAATGGTGATCCCATCTATGGTGAACTGAGCATTATTTTCCTCTTGGAGCTCTCAAGTATGCCAACCATGGCCGAACAGCTAGCCGTCGATGGCGTTCTTGGTCAGGTCAGCTCCGCAAGCATAACCACTTATTTGCGTCGTGGAAATGTATCTCCATTCGCTGATGGCGCCGGTATCCAACGCTGCTACAACATCTGGGTCCGCGGCATCCTTCCTTTAATCCTCAATCTCCTCCATTCAGTCGGTGCCTCTATCGCCACAGAAGTCGCACTCTTTCTAAACCAATTCCCTCATCTCCTCGCTCAATCGGCAGCTGCGTTTGATGCACCCGAATCCTCACGCACCACTTCGATATCAACTCCAAAACATCTTTGTCTATCTACAGCTTCTGAAGTTCACTCTCTAGCTCTTATCATCTATATTTTGAATGGATTTAGAGAACAGTTACAAGGAATCCAGGTGGTGCCGGAAGTAGATTGGGACTTGGGCGCGGTGGCAGAGAATGTTGAGTTTTGGTTAGGAAGTCGAGCAGTCTTGAGAGAGAGGATAGTACCGATGGGTGACAAGGATTTGGAGTGGAGGGGGAAGAAAATAGAGGCTGGGAAGGCGGGAGCAATAGGATGTTTGGATCGATTGGAGGAGAAGGTGGTGTTTGAGATGATGGGAATCAGGGATGTGATGAGTGGGGGTGATCCGTGAGTGGAATGGGAGGGACAGGGTGTGAATGATGTATAGGAGTGGCGTTATTTCTGTTTTTGGAGATAAACTGAATACTTGAACATGCACAACTAATTTTTTTTGTATCAATGAGAAGAATGATCAGGATATGGCGTCTATAGATTGACATTCTTTGGCATCGTAAGAGTGATCTTCGTTAAAAGTTCAGGAGAAATATTCCGACCAATTTAAGAGGAGAATTCCGAGTTTTTATCCTTCATGTACTATCCACACATTATCTTTTCATAGACAATAAATTTCTCGACAATTTTCATTCCCACAATCCGTCATGCAGGCATTCATATTCATATCGATATCTTCCCTCAACATCGACTGCATCCTCAAACATCTATCGTACAGCCCCATTTTTTCACCTCCCTCTTCTCTTCTCACTATCTATATCGCCACACCAGAAAAATCGATTTACCTCGACCCAGGAGGAGGTTGACTCATCATCTGTGCTTGTTGTTCCTGGAATCTCTGACCGATGCGCTCACTTCCCGCCATGAATTTTTGGACGCAGCGGGAGACGCAACCGGTTTCGCGGGCGATGAGGGATTTGGTGGAGAAGTCGTCGACGCAGGAGTCGAAGCAGTGGGTTACGAGGTTGGAGAACATCTGTGGAGGGGTGGGGGTGTTAGTTGGGGGTTTGGGGATGGAAATGATGAGGTTCTTGGGGAAGGGTGGAGACGAGGGGGTGAGGGGTGCGGGGATGAATTGTGAAAATGAATGGAAGAAGTTTGGAAAGGGTGTAGAGTGCGTGATATTGGAGATGGTTTGGGGATAAGGGTTTGGAACTCTCCAAATATGTTATTGCGAAACTAATTGGCTAAGCGCTAGCCAATTGCCATTCCGACAATGCTACGATTGCTTGCATTGTGGAAATCCATTTGAATTCGCCATGGGTGGAGTGGCCAGAAGGTAGATTCCAAATCCCATTATGATTCGCACGAATAATCGAATTTCAATCAGGGCGGCGAGGATTGATCTAGAGGGACAGCGGAGCAAAGAAGCTCGATCGAAAGGTATCGGCAGGCCATTACTCGAAATTGAGAGAGGATTTTCGGCTGTAGCATGTTCGATGCAAGTCCAATCGGAGTTTGAAGAATTTTGTTCTCCTAGGTGGGCTGCGCAGGATAATAAAGTGCGACGCGGGGTATGATGAACAATCCTCGTATTATCTCTGATGTGTTTTCCCCGCTTGGAATATTTGGAAGGTTTCGTATTCGACCATGTGGAAGTGAAATTGTGTAGAGGATCTTAACTTACGCCCATGAATTCCTTCATTTGCTTTCTTTCCATACGGCTTTGGAATTCTCTTTGCTCCAAGGGGGTGAGTCTATTTGATCATCGTTAGTAAATTGGATTGGTAGAGTTTTTGAAGAGCTGAAGAGCTCTATTACTCACCCTTCCATGATGATGATTTGAATTATATGTGAGAGAGATTGAGAAGTTTGACCGATTTATTGAGAAGGTTATAAGTTTATTAGAAAGACTTGTCAAGGCTGATGGATGAGGCTGATATGATAAACTCTTCTGTATCAAATTAAAAGGCTTTTTTAGCAAGGTAAATAGTTAGAGCTCTGTTTATTGGGTCGGTTAATGTCGGAAGTATGTTAACTTTTATCCGAAGTTGATTGTGGCCCCTGCACGAATTTCTTTGTTGATCCATGGTAACTTTTTGATCTGATCTTACATCTTACATACAATTTCCTTTCTTCACTTATTGACATTCGAATGCTAACTATATTTCTTCATTCTCCTTGAATGAGAGAACGGGTATCACAAAAGTTAAACAAAGCATGTTATGTCTATTAGTCAGTTGATAAAGGGGTACAACAACTGTACTTTTGCCATGTCCTCCTCTCTCTTTATATATGAAATGAAGATCTTCTTGTGAGAAACTAGAAGCCGGTCACTATACCCAAACAATCACCAAGTCATTTCGCATTGCATCCTAAATTGATGCATGAGAGTACAATGCAAAAGGACCAAGCAACTGAAGCGATGGGGGAACCATGGGGGGTAATGACTACAGGTACCTAGGTAGGTAGGGTTTGTTTTCGTTCAATGACTTATTAATAAGGTACTGACTTGGGTACTGACTTCAATACCGCCTCGCCTGAAAGAAGAAGAGGAAGAAAGTTTATTCATCGATTGATACGTACAGGAACTGATACGGGAACTCCTATGTGTTTCCTGCATCAAGGGTTCATCCATCTTCCATCTTTTCCAATCGCTTTGTTCTGGTTGCCCTGGTTATGGATAGAAGTATACAAGAGCACTGGGTACCTAGGTGATGATGATGTTTTGCCAGCTCATGTATTCCCGTATTTCATAGGTATCTGAAGAGTTTACCAGGTAAATGATCAAAGATTTCATCTAACTATAGATAGATGGACTTGCTCACTGGCCATGACCCTCTCCATAAGACTCCAGCCAAAAAAAGTCCAGATCTTTGTTCGCTACTAATCCTGTCTCTCAAAACAGGGTGAATAATTGGTAGATCAATCAGGACCTACTTTTCCGAAAAAGCTGTAATTCATTAACATGATAAGTTATGAGTATAATGAAACTTCAAAGTAACCACTCGGGTGGTACTGTAGACTGTAGTTGGCTTTGACTCGTGATTCTTGAACTTGGGATTCCCACGTATCAATGACAAACTTCAAACTTTCCACCACCTCCAAAACTCTATTAAACAAATAAAGCAGCAATTTGAAGGTCTGACGTTGTCTTCAATATTGTACTGTCCTCTATTTCATGGGTCAGCAGGGCAGAGTTTGAGTGAAAGCTTGCAATACCACTACCGTACCACTATTTACACGACTAGACCATAGATTCCAATGTACTGCACTTCTTAGCGTCACTCTCCACTCGTTAAGTTTCTACTCTCCGAACTCTTTCACTTCAAATCAACCACCACCTCTACTGTTCCCTGATATTCTCAACCATTATCAGCAACTCTACGGATTTATCGTCTCGCAACTACTTGATTGTTTTGCTCATAACCAGATCCTTCAAGTTCGACTTTAATTCCTCTTGCTTTTGCAGAGCCCAAAACCTTACATTACCAACTACACTTACTACACTTGCTCGAGAGAGAGAGAGAGACCCGGTCGCGTCGCAAATAGAAATAAGCCCCTCCAGCAACACAATCCCCACAAACAATCACTGTACCCACATCAACAATACCTATCATTGCTGTCGCATGCACCTTCATTCTCAGTTACGACCGACCAGAACCTAATCTGAAGACTTCCTCTATTCTCTTGACCCCTCCGAATCAACAATATAGATATTTCCACTTCGTGCGAAAGGTGAATTCTGCTGCCTGTGTCTCCTCCTAGACTTGCTGGGCCTCGAGGTCCTTTGCGACATCAATTATCGCTGGAGCTACCGTTTGTATATTGTCTGGACGATCAGCAGATCTGATTGAACAACTCCAATATGCTGTCTGATCATCCCACTTCTTCGACGACACAACAGCCCTTTTCGAGCCCACAACCAGCCCCCATACAACAAGCCGCATCACCCCCAACGAAGCAGAGTTTGAAGAGCTGGTGGAAGACATTTCGGCCCCCTGCTAGGACTCAGGAACCCAGTACTGGTAAAGACCCCCCAAAGTTTCTTTTGTTGAAGGCCCAGAAACAAAGTGAGGATCTGGGCCATTCTCTCTATGCCAATTTTGTTTCCAATCTGCCGAGAAATTTGGATCCTTTATTCAAGGAGAATCCAATGCACAACAATTCATCAATAGTAGACGGTATTCCAGAGTTTGCGACAGATATAATGCCAGAAGCAGACGAATTAGCGACAAAGACACAATCAAGCACAACAACTTTCACAGGACATGCACAGTCTCTTCACGAGTACAAATCTAGGAGTCTTCTCTGGCCGTCAACTTCCAGTTTAGTGTCTGGAAAGCATATTTTGATGGACAATTCTCAGCTCAATTCCAACTATGAAACTAGACACCCCCAGTCAACAAGTGGCATAAAACGAAGAAAGAGAAGTTCTTTCAGCAAAAAGCTGTCCAAGGATATAGCAGCTAAGCAGCGTTCCAAAATCCGTATTCAAAACAATCATAGCCAGTATATAAAGCAGCGAAGCACCAACTCTCTAAGCAGAAGTCAACAATTGCTAAACTTCTGTCGTTATCATCACATAAAATTCAGCTTGTTAAAATTGGTAACAATGATAAAATCGAAACTGACAAAAGAAACTCCAGAATCCCAACCAACAGGTATATTTGGTGTACCTTTGCGACAGAGTATCGCATATGCAAATGTCGCTATCTCCCTCGTCGATGCCCAAGGACAAAGCTACATATATGGTTATGTACCAATAGTAGTTGCAAAGTGTGGAGTTTATTTGAAAGAGAAAGGTATGTTTATTGAATGGAGGTGTTATTTTGATGTCTGGCTGACCACTATCCGAATAGCAACTAATGTAGAGGGAATCTTCCGGCTCAGTGGCTCGGAAAAGCGCATCAAAGAATTAAAAATAATTTTTGATTCTCCTGATCGTTATGGAAAAGGTCTTGATTGGGCTGGGTACACAGTTCATGATGCGGCAAACGTGTTACGAAGATATCTTAATTTACTACCAGAGCCAATTGTCCCGCTTGATTTATATTCGCGATTTAGAGAGCCTTTAAGAGGTCATACTATGGCAGCAGTTGGCGACAGTGATGGTAGCCCCCAATTTTCTGACAATTTCGATGTCAATAAGGCCATCATTACTTACCAGCAACTAATCACCGAATTACCACCATTGAATCGTCAGCTACTATTATACATTCTCGATCTTCTAGCAGTTTTTGCCTCAAAATCGGATGAAAATAGAATGACGGCAGTCAACCTCGCAGCCATCTTCCAGCCTGGTATGCTTTCACACCCGGAACACGACATGGCACCTGCAGAGTATCGTCTAAGTCAAGACGTACTAATTTTCTTGATTGAGAATCAAGATCACTTCCTGATTGGGATGAGAGGTACAGCAGCGGACGAGCAGACTTTAAATGAAGTTGAGCACGGTACTCCTCCCCCAGGAACTCCCACTACACCTGGTAGATCGAAGAACGCGATTGGAAGATCCGCCTCAAATGCTAGCGCTGGAGCTGATAGTGTGCGCAAGTTCGGTGGCATTCGACGTAATGTATCTGTCTCGTCCCGTCATTCGCGACAGTCGAATGGTGCACCCAGCCCGGCAAGTCCAGCTTATGGTATTGCACTTACTTCTACATCCAGCGGTGGTGTTCATCGAAGCAATACTGTACCTTCAAAAAAATCTCCTGGATTGCCATCATCTCGAATGCACAAAAATTCTGGCCCACCCTCGCCATCTCCAGTTGGCCTAACTGCCAATCGTTCCTACGGACCTCGAGGTCTTTCACCTGCGCCTCCTCCATCTTCAGGCCATCTATCGCCCTCTCCAGCTTTAGCACTCAATACGACTACCGAACCAACCCTCACCGATTCAGGCCATACTGTGACGAGCCAGGAGCGCCTGATTCCTGAATCAAATGAGCGCTCTCCTGAGGTCTCTACTCCATCTAGAATTGTTTCAAACCTGTTTCAGCGATCACCTACGGAAAGTACCGATAGACGACAACCTAACAAGCTAAGGAAGAAACGCGTTCCAGGAAGCTCAAATCTTAGCGCTCAGAGCTCGACAAATTCTTTGAATGGGCGATCATCTTCAATATCCCCGGGCCTCCATGCATCTCACGGTAACTCGGATCATGCAGAGCATCCTCATCTGGAACATTTGTCCACATTAAACCCGATATTGTCCAATACGCAAGCTACACCTCCCGCTACAGAAACCCCGCGTGCTGAACAGCCTCCTCATTTTACACCTATGCGGCCAGAGGATCCTCACCACCCATCTGATAGAACCTTGCGCCCGGTCATATCACCTGTATCTTCCTTACATTCTCACTCATCTTTCAATGATCAATCGGATCTTGATCATGGAGAAGATCCTGCTTTCGCTGAGGCAAGAGAAAGACGTTCAATGTGGCGTCTATCGCGGCGCAGGGATGACTCAAACACACTGGGAGCTACACTAAGTCCCAACAAAAATGGGTCAGATAGTGGTGCCGGTGCGAGTTCAAGTTCTGTAGGCAGCTCAGGCAGACCTCGAAAGAGTTTCACTGGCGATACCGTGCCTGTTGGGCCTGACTCAGGATTACCCCATGCGCAAATCATGTCCAGCAATGATAGTGGATCTGTCGCGCCCGAAGAGAGAAGAGGACCCCTAGGTTGGATCAAAAGCAAGATGCGAGAGAAGCGGGACGAGAGTAGGGAGAAGGATGCTGAGCGAGAACGTAATAAAAGCCCGCCTGGCGACCGGCCATCTAACATCAGTTCTTCGGCCCTAGCCCCGCGTGGCAAGAGCATAGACGTCAATAGAGGAGAAGAATCTGAGCGTCTCAACGGGAGAGAGCATAACTTATCCTAATAATAATTCGACGAGGTGACGAGATGGTTATCAGATTATTTTCAGCATTTCAAAGCACATTTCATTTACTCGGAGTCCAATCTACGACAGCTCTAATAGGCTCGCTGTCTATTGGTTATAAAGATCGGTGCCCCCGATCATGACACGTCTTTCCCACCCGATTTCTGTTACATGCGTGCATTTGTCCCTTTTTGTTTGCGCCTCCACAGAAACCCATCTTAATAAAAATGATGGGATTTTTCCGTTGATCATGGCTGTGGTTGGTGATGTTATATTTGAGGATTCGGGTTTATTTTGAGTGCATTGCCTCGTGGAATTAAGGATTTATCATTTGTCGTCGAGATTTTCACCCTTCCATGTTCTATATAGAAGGATGGTATAAAGAAGAAAATAGGAAGGGTATAAATGGGTGAATTGTGACAATCACGAGTTCGATGATCTGATGAATTACTGGTACTGGCAAGGGAGTTTGTTTTTTTTCTTGAATGCTTTTACAAAAATCAAAACGAATCAAGTCTTCAATCTTCTGGGCTTTCGGGGAGCAGGACATATCCTTATGGGGTCATGAGGATGCGACGAAAACATGAAGCCATAAGGATAAGCTTGATACGACTCTTATGATTGGGATGGATCGGATGAAGGTTTGGCTGGGTTTGGGAAAGAATGTATAGGGTATTATGAATATAACGGGAATGGGGAAATGATGGATAGAGACTTTCAAGTTCCTACCTTTTTTTGTGTGTGATAGGTTTGACCATTTGGTGGTGGTGTGGAGGGATCAAGAAAATGAAGTTGAGAAGTCGAAGATGTTTTAAGATGGGACGAAATGTTCAATTCTTTTGTATGTATTTTGAAGTAATTGTGAATGAGTAAATGGAAGAAGGGACTTTTGATATATATATATGTATATTTATGTATGATGACTTCACTTTTGAGGAGCTGAATAAGACTGAGAATGAGATTGAGATAGATAGTCTACCTACCTAGTATACTTGTAGCCAAAATCGTCATCGTCATCGTCATCGTCATAGGAGATACTTAGGTAGGTGGGAGATAGTAGGTAGCATGCTCTCGAGTCTCGAGAGCTAAGACTCAACCCGTAAATCAACCGGTACTCCATTGTCATTCATTCTAGCCCGTCCCATTGACGAACGTAATTCTACTATGTATTCCGTATTCGTGGCGAATTGTGAGATTCGTTTGAGGGTTGGATGTGTGGATGTGTGGATGGGTAGGTAGGTAGGTAAGTAGATGGCTATTGTATTAGTGGTATGGAATTGGTGGTGGTGGTGGTAGTGATGGCGGTGGATGGACGGATGGAAGGTAGGAAGTAAGGGAGGGGGAGATGAAAGTGTGGAAGTATGAATAGTAGTAATAAAGTCTCAATCGATTCAATCTATCTATAGCTAAGCTATTCTAACTATATAATATATTTAAATGATATTAATTATATAAGGTAAATAAGAAAGCGAAGAAAACCTACCCCCCTCAAATGATCTAGATTTACTATTATAAAATCCCGTTATATTATAAAACCTTTATAATCTTCTCATTTACTTCTTTACAATCTTTACAATCTCCTACTTCTTATACCTATTTCTATTATTCCCTTCTATTTTATTCAACTCCTTTCAATATATCAAATCCTATAATTAATATATTACTACTTTATTATAAGAATATCTTCACCTTTAAATCTTTAATCCTTAAATTCTTCGAATCTCATTTATAATATAAACAATTTTAATTTCAATCCTATATTACAAAATACTTCATTTCTAACCTTTTCTTTATAATACTTTAATCAAATTAAATTCTATTCAAGATATATTATCTTCATTCTCATTTTATTTTACTAATATTATTTCTTTAATAAAAGAATTCTAAAACCTTATAATAAAAGAGATTAATAATTATATAGCTAATTTTAACTTATATTCAATATACTAATAATCTAAAATAAATTATATAATAAATATAAAACAAATTATAATATTAATTTTTAATACGATATATACTCTACATTATTAAAGATTACTACTCCCTCTTGAAATAATTAATAATATATTATATACTTTAAAAAAGCTATAATCAATATCAATATATTTTAATTTCTATTATTCTTTAAAATTATTATTCTATAACTTATATAAATTGTATTTTATTGAGATTTAAAGAATACTATTTCCCTACATAAAATAATTATAAGTATTAGAAAAGCATTTCATTTCTATATATTGATAATCTTATTAAAAGCATTTTTCAAAATAAATAAAACTTCTTAAAAAGATTTTCCTTTTTTATTTTTCTATATTTAAAAACCTTCTTCTTATATATAAAACCTCTCTATAAAACTACTAAATACTAAAAGATTCAGATTATTATAGAAATCATTAAGAAATCTCTTCTACTAATTTATTTAATATAATTATTCTATATTATAATAATATCGATTATTTTAAATATCCTAAATAAATACAATATATCTCTTCTTTTATATTAATAACAATAATTACTCAATCTAAATAAATACCGACTTAGCGATTATAAAACAGAACATAAAATAATTACCTAATTCGAATATAATATAAATTAGAGAGTTATTTCGAAAAAACTGTTCTTAGCTTTTTTCATGTTCTTCGAAGTATGGATAGGGAGTGAGTTGTAAGATGTAAGACATTTATTTAGATTTGGTGTTTGCAGGGTACGGTTTGAGATGGGATGGGATGGAATAGGATGAATAAGATAGGATAGGATAGAATGGATTAGAATGGGATAGGATGGAATAGGAGAGGAGAAGTGAGATAAGAGGAGAGATGAGGTGAGAGATAGATGGATGAATGGAGGAGATGGATGGAGTGAGTGGTAGTGTGGGTGCACTGCCTTGTGGCGGGATGTATATGTGGTTTTTAAATATTGAATGTTGAAGGAGAAAAGAGTAGGTAGAAGATTGGGATTGGAGGGTTTGGGTTGGAGGGTTTGGGTTGATTTGGCTGGGCTTGAGACGATGGGATATGTTTTGCGTATATCGTACTCTGTACATATGGGGATAGCTATGTAGACGATGATACCGATGATGATGATGCTTTAATGAAAATATGTGAAGTATAATATGGAATGCTTTGAAATAAGGGTCTTTGTGAACTTGTGTGAATATGCAGATGACGGAGAGCGGTGCTTATTCAATAAACTTCGTGTATATACCATAGTGACATATGCACAACACGGACACATTGTTTCTAGAAGGAAGAGCCTAGCTCCTAGGTACGATGTAAGAAGTTCTAAACTCGGATCTGCATCTGCATCTGTGACTGCGACTGCAGGCGGATGTCGGGGATAGGGAGCATGGCATTGTCGGATACGAAGAGTTGGTTGGAACTTGGGACTGATGATTGTGTGAGTGGAAAGTTTGTGGACTCATGAGGGATTGGTTGAGGAATTGATTGAGTGATTAGTAAGTTTTCTGCTTTTGGGATTTTTACACGAGTTGTGTATTGTATGAGGATAATAAAACTGTATATATGTATTTCGGATAATGTTTCATCCTGCAACGAGGAGACGAGGGAACTGGTGAGCAAATCTATGGACCCCTATTCTTCGACAAACCTCGCGATCAAGATTCTCCTGAACTCAAGAGAAGGTTCGGAGGGTATAACGGGTATACCTCGCCACTAGTTCAAGATCCAAGACACTGGACTGACTGCGTTTGGTCGACGTTAACCAAGCAGGGTGAGTGCTCGGGGGCTAGGTCAAGCGAGGATCGAGAGGCGCGGCTTGCGTTCGTGGATTCATTGGTTGTGTTGAGACTACGGGGGATTGATGAACAAGTAGTGCATATATTTTATGCAGGCTGCTATTTATGGATGGGTACGGGGTTTGTTGAAATGGGTAGGTTGTTAGGTAGATGATGATTTGCCTCGTTGCTTCAGGGTTTGCAAAGGTGGTTTGGATAATTTGATTTTGATGGTTTGATGCTAGAGGTTTCGGTTGAGTTGATAGGTGTTGAGGGATACTGTGAATCTGTAATGGGTTAGACAAAATGAATAATAGAATGGCATGTAAATTGTAAGGAGAATGAAAGATATGAAGGGGTGAATAAATATCAAAGACACTCCCCTCGTGTCTCGAGATAAGCTGGAAAGTGGGTCGATTCGAGGGAACACATGAAGCCATCCGAAGACAGAAGAATGAGAGCATCGTTTGGTCGGCTGCATAATACAATTAGCTTGTCTGCTTGTATTGAAGGCACTTCTCGAAGTATTCGGATACAAGTAGCGTCGCTTTTCGCTACTGGTTTCCTCTTATTTGTGAGGATTCTCGTATACAGAGTAGACGGAGTAATTTTTGGTGGGGATCGAAGTATCAAGTGGAGTGAGGATTTGAAGATGGTGGGTCTTGGATGGAAATTATGGAATGGTAGATTTGGAGGTTCTGGTCGGAACAATGCGCGATTTGACATGGAAATGCAACAATTGGGTGAGTGGAAAACTGGCATCGTCATTCTTTGGCGGCGGTAAGTATGGATCCTGGTATGGATGGATATTCGGGGGGGTTCTTCACCATTTGATCCAACTAGAAAGGAGACTTGAGTCGACAGTGAAGAGTCAGTGTCAATGCAACCAATTAGTTGCATATAGCAGCTGCATGTCCTTTTCCAAGATCTCTTTAGCCTCGTATTATCTCAAGAGGATCATCGCCATCACATGTAGGTAATCAAGCAGAAACGTATATTGTCTCTAATACCCCTCGTTATGTATTGATGCGAAGAACAGTTTTCCAATCCACTTTGCTCACTTGCTTCCTTTACAATTCGCATATCGAATCACTCACTCACTCACTCGCTCAATCACTCAATTCCTCACTCGCTAGCTACGAATATTTTCTTGACGTTCATTCTGCGCTTTCTACGACAATTTCCATCACAAGAACAAGGTACGTTAACGGGACCAGGTTTTCATAATCCGACTCTACGGTTGCACATCACACCTCATCAGACATATCATACTTCTCTCGTACTCATATGGCAATTCCGAGTATTCCCAGTATCATATGAACTATAATCTCGAATTCTCCATCCAAGGAGAAACAGTTCCTTGTTCGCAAAGTGGTCTCTTTGATAAATTGTACCTCTTTTTTTCAGCCTTTACCCTGGATACCCTGATATTACCCTATACCCTTGCGCTGTATCACTCCCAATCAATCCACCCGAAGTTCTTACAGCACCTTATTAGTATCTTAGCACCCTTTTTAGCACCCTTTTAGCACATCTAAGCACCACTCCTTATCGCAACCCGCAGCACTTTGGAATCGACTGGCTCGTTCCTTACAAAACATTTCGAACCACTTCTACTTCCACTTCCACTCCCCCCCTATGTGTTTCCTTCCCAGTCTTTCCTTCCCAGTCTTTCCTTCCTTCTCCGCAATAACAATCTACGAAGTAGTACTGAGTGCTGAGTACCAGTCTCATGGTAATTGATAGCTAGCTACCTTGGTTTATACCCAGCCACAACTTAAAGGGCAAGTGATGTCCTGAAGAAGAAAGAGAAAGAAAAAGCTAAAACCTTTTTTGTCTCTCTTGTTTTAAACAAAACTCCCATCTTCTCTCTTCCTCTCTAATGACAAATCAATTGCAAATCGTCCCCTCATAATAAAACTTGTCATACATTCAATTGTCTGACAATTCATCCATCATCATCATCATCATCCTCCATTTCTCGTTTCTTGATCTCTCTTCGTTCGTTTTACCTTCAAGTGGCATTACAGCTCACCACTGCACCTATCTTACAGTTGCATTGCTTTGACATTCGTTCAAACCCCTAATATAATCCTTGAAAATTGTTCTTCTTGTCAAAGTACCTTGAGAGTTGAGCAATCATGAGTTCAACAGCTAATGAACGAAAGATCCAAGATCTTGAGCAAAAGCTCGATTCAAGTGTCAATAGTCCTTTGATGTCAGAGACCGAGTCCTATATCAACGAGAAACAAGATATCGAAGCGAATAAACCTCGAAAGTCGGAAAATATGCCTTCAATCCGGCAATTCTTATTGACTCTTATGGTCTTTTCCCTCCTCACTATCACAATTGTTTCTGCCGCTACCACGAACCGAAATCCAAGAAGTGTATCACCTCCTTGTATGGAAGATCAACAAGCCTTTAGAGAATTGCTGGATACTGTTGAGCCTGCCATGTTACATGATGTGCTTCATCAACATATGACGGAGAAATATCAACATGGCGTTTATGAAGATGACAAGGATGCTTTGGAAGCTGTTTATAGACAGGAACCTGCAGTCGCACATGCGTTGGTTGAGGCAGCAAAGGCAAATGCTAT